TCAGCTTTGTCTGTAGAGACTTGATCACTTTTGTTATTGAAGGAGCAGAAAACTTAGGAGAATGGAAGGACAGCAAGGTATTGTGGGTTTTAGGAGTGAGAAGATAACACTTTGTCTTTCTGTATGGCACCCTGTGCATGAGATACCTCAGCAAGACATTTATGCTGGGAAAATAGTGTCTCTTGCCTTGCTGATTGTATGCTTAGCCTACTAGGTGCTGTAAAGTGAAGTGCAATTTTCACTATTCCTTAGTTCATACTGCCTATGTATTAAGTATTTCTTTTATATGGCCTGTCACTTTTGAAGTTGGTCTTAATTGGGCCGTAATCCTGGGCTTCGGTTGTCCAGAACTGATTTTAAAGGAAGCTGGCAGGGAATTTCCTGCTCATTTTCAGCATTAATGCTTTGTTTTGTTTTGTTTCCTTAGATAAAATACACAGCTGCAGGAAAAGAGAATTTGCAGAACTTTGGTGTTGTTACTGACACACCTCTCTATGTGACTGCAGTGCAGAGTGGTGCAAATGCTAGTGATGTGAGTCTCCCCACCTCTTCTAATCAAGCTTTTCCCTGTGCTCCTTCTGAGAATTGAAACTAACTAAATCTGTCTTTCACCTTACAGGTGAAATACAAGCAAGATTACCACAAAACTAAGGACAAGTATACAACTGTGACTGAAACAGTGGATTCTGAAAGAGTTCAAAATTTGAAACATCTCTTTAGCAATGTAAGTGTGTCTATGCATTTTTTTTTTCTCTTAAGGTGCTACTGTGTGGGATTCGTGTTTTATTTTGTTTGTGCACTCTGTTTGAAGATAAATGTCCAAACATGGAGTGTATCAAAGCCAGTGATGGCCCTCTGCATTGCTTGAGTATGGGGAAGATAGTGTATTTCAGGCAGAGAGCATATTTTCTAACTGCAGTTCCAGTCTTATCAAAAGAAGTGCATTAATAAATAGATTCCCTGAAGAAAATTGCACCTGAAAAAAATTAAGACCTTGTACGAGAATGGACATGAATAGTTAGAATGCATTTTTGTTGCCTTTTATGTGCATTGTCAAGATTAAACTAGTGTACGGCCTCTTGATAGTAAGTAATAGTTACAGCGTATAAATACTAACAGAAGGGCTTTTGATTTCTATTGGTCATTGGTATTACCCAGGAGGAGAACTTTGCCACTTACCGAGACTTTCTGTTTCCCTGTAGAATCTCTACAAGAAAGCCTGGGATAAAGTGAAAGCTACTGGCTATATAATGCCCTCTGATGCTGTATCTCTAGCACGTGCAAAAGAACTGAAGCATAATGCTAGTACTGTAAGTGAATAAAATACTTTCTTTTTTTAAATCAGATCATCAATTCTAGCAATGAAATCCTTCATGCCTTGCATATACTATAGGTATTAAAAAGGTGGGTTTTTTAAAAATTATCTTCTGTTTTTAATTTAGATATCACATGTATCTGTAGATAATCAGTTTTCTGTGATAGCATTTGGATAGCAGTGAGATAGTTCTTTGATGCTTCTTTTAATGGAAAAAAAATGTCAGATTTTATAATAATTGAAACTGTTTCTTGAAAATGTCTGGTTAGGTGTTTTTTCACTCTAAATTGTGTAAGTGTCCAGGTCTGAAAAACACCAAATGTGTTTAAATGATGCTTTAGCGAGTATAGAAGAACGTAGTCTTACGCTTTACTGAACTGAGGCTTAAGAGAGATCACTGTCTTCCTGGATAGCTTTAAATGAAAGAGCTGGAACAATAAATAAATAGCTTGTTCTACATCTGTTTATTTTTAAATTCTTCTGCTCAGCTGTTGTTGTTTTTACAACAAGGTAGTTATGATGTGCTTTCTTTGCCATTTTGCTTGCTGATGAATTTTGTTCCAAAAGTACAGTTGACTGATTGGAGTCAGTTATTTGTTGCCTTCCTTTGCATCTGCTTAGGTAAAATACCGAGAAGAATATGACAAGTTTAAAGCACTGTACACACTACCCAGAGGTGTTGAGGATGATCCCAATACAGCAAGGTGCCTCAGAGTTGGAAAGCTGAATATTGATGTAAGTGGTGTTTTCTGGTGTGTGTTCTCCTGATGAAGCCATTCTTATCTCAGAAGAGGCTACTCAAAGAATCCACATGCCTTCATTCAGAGATCACATTTCCATATGCATTTGGCAGTGTTCAGTATTTGTGAAAGTCTGTAATACACCTACAAATGTGTTTTCAAGCTTGTGACTCAACTGTTAAATTGCCTGCATGGCTAAACCTTTAGTATAATATGTTTATGTGTAAAATGGAGCACTACATATTCTACCTCATTTTAACACGTGAGTACAATAAAAATTTGACAAACCATATTTTATCACCCTTGTTAAGCTTCTGCAAATTATTCTTAGAGCAGGCAAGATGTAAATTTTAGTCATAGCCAAAGTGATTGCTCTCCCACTAACATTCCATGAAAATATCAATAATTTTTCTTCAAATTGCTCAACAGATGATGCTTCGGACAATTTGTCAGTATTATTAACATACTGCTTTAACTCTGCAGCGTCTGTACAAGGAAGTCTATGAAAAGAATAAAGCCAAAGTCCACATTATTCCAGACATGGTAGACATAATTTCTGCTAAGGATGCACAGAAGAAAATCAGTGAAATTGATTACCGCACACATCTCCACGAATGGATCTGTCTACCAGATCTTCAGATCAATGCCCATGTTCGAAAAGTAACTGATCAGCTCAGTGATGTAAGTTCACAATTCATGTGTTCATGGCTCACTTTTTAAAAAGGTTCTTGCATTTATGCTCTGTTAGAAATGATTTAGCAAAAACTTAGTTGGAGCACTCTACAGTTGCCACTTCAATCTGCTGTACTACGCCTTGCTCCACAGCGTCTGTATCATGCTTTTGTAGCGCTTGGCAAGAAGTGCGTAGTTGACATGTGGCTTAGTATGCATAATTTCTGTGTCATCAGTGTAGACATTGGGTCGTAACATTGCTGTTCTACTAGTTCAGCCATTCCTGTCTGTAAATTGTCCTTTATTATTTGGTTGCATAAGATGTGGAAGCTTTGGAAGTTTGAGAAAGTCCTGGTGGTGTGAAGCTTCTGTGCACTTGCCTTGCATAGGTCAGCCCAGGAGTAGGCCAGCAATCTATCAGTAAATCATTGCCCAGTAGGATATACAAGTAGTTTTTTTTAAAAATCATTTGTTTTTTTTTTTATTTATTGGCCAGACTGAAGCAATGAAGGAAAATTATTTAAATTCCAAAAGGAATTGTTTTGATATTCTCAAGCAACAACAGAAGTCAAAATACTGGAAACCTTACTTGCCATCATTTGACAGTTGTGTTTCAGACTGATTTAGCAATAAGGGATTAGATCCTAGTGGAAGTCTAACAGATCACTGCTTTGCTCTGATATCTCAGGTGATATACAAGGATGATCTCAACTGGCTGAAAGGCGTTGGCTGCTTTGTTTGGGACACTCCTGAAATTCTCCATGCCAAACATGCCTACGATCTTCGCAGTGATGTGAGCGGATACGCTGGTTTTGCTGCTTTGGTTTTTTCACTCCATTGTATATTAAAAGGATGGAGGAGCTTTATTCTACTCCAGATACAATCTGGAAAATGTTATATATACTTCTCTACTGAAGTATTCATTAAATATCCATAGATGGTTATTTAAACTTTGCTGCTCTAGAAGTAGATGTTGTCAGGTTAGATCCCATTCAGGAAAGCGTTCAGCACATGTTTAAATACTTGTCTTCTCAGAAAAGCACTTAAAACAGTAATTCTTCATTCAGAACTTGAAGTAAAGCAGAAATGATGCAGAATTCATATTAAAAAAAGTATTTTGATGTTGATTTTATGATTTCTTTTTCTTCTCTCAAGTTCTTATGGCACTTCCTTAATTTGGGATTAAGCCATTAAAATGAGAGAATAACCATTCTGGTCTTTGAAAATGTATGCCCCTTGTATCAGAAGTATGTTGGATATTTATCATGTGGTACATATCACTATTCTGTGAATGAATATTGATATTTCCTAATATACCTTGATAAAACTTACCAGCTGTTCTTATCTAGTCAGGTGCCATATTCATTTATTCAGCCATAATTTCAATACACTTTCTGTTTAAATGCTGGTTTATTAATAGACTTGTTCTGTTTAAATGCTGGTTCATTAATAGACTAATTCAGTAATAAACAGTAAATATAGTAAATAATAATATAATAAACTTAGTTAACGATGACTAGCCTTGCTAATTAGAGCTCTTGAATTTCTCTCTGCAGATTAAGTACAAATCCAAGGCAGAAAAAATGAAGAATGACTATACTGTGGTCATGGACACTCCTGTCTACGTCCAGAATGTCCTCAGTGGCTTGAATTCAAGTGAAGTAAGTATTTGTGTCACCTTTCAACCCCAAGATTGCAGATGCCATTACCTCAAAAGTTCTAGAAATGTGACTTTTAATATATTTTTAGTCATTTCATTTTAATCATTTAGTCATTGCTGGCTATCTACAACTCATTGTGTATAGCTTTATTAAGATATGAGAACACAATCAGTAAAATCATTAATTGCCTGAATCCATCCCATTTTTTAGGAGAAATTCCTGTATGTATACAAACAATACATAGTGTGAGAGAGCATCACAATTATGACTGTCCTCTGATTACTACTTCTTTTTCTCAGGCTGTCTATCGTGGTGAATATATGCACAATGTTAAAGGCAAAATGATTCCTACTGATAAAACAGTAGATTTGGAGCGGGCATATCATGCGAACAAAATACAGAGTGAAGTAAGTATAAAACTTTTGGGTCCACAGAGTTTCTGCGACTCAAAAAGCAAATTCTTTAAAAGTTAATGTTTGTCTTTAGCTTTTCAGATAAAGCAGCTAGATTTCACCGCTCTAAAATGGAAGTGAGAAATGTCCTCATTTAAACTACAAGTGCACATTATAATGCAGACATGGGGAAGTCTTTTGCCAGTTGTGATTAAGAGATTTCCTATGCAACTAATGAATACTATTAGAGGTCATCTCAAATATTGCACATGGTCATCATAAACCTCTCTTTCTCTCTTCCCTTGCAGAATTTGTATCGCTGGGCTGGTGTGAAAGCTCTGCCTACGGGATACAGCCTTCCCACAGATACCCCCAGCTTTCAGCATGCTAAAGAAGTCCAGTACATTGGCAGTGATGTAAGTAATGTACAAAGTCCTTCTACAACATGAGTTGCAAGGGAGTATTTGATGCCCATCCTGTATGAGCGCACGACTGTTTGTGACAGTTATTTCTCGGATACAAGACTGCTTGTCAGAGAGCAAGAGTGGGGTAGTTCCATGTGGATGCCTGACCCAGAAACTGAGGGTGGACACGACATAGGCAGTGGCCTCATCATCCAGGGTGAAGTCCCACTGTACCTGAACGGGGTGGGCAGAGCAGGGTGCTGACAAAAGGTTGCATCAACACTCCCAGACAAGGTGAGGAACCAGGGCCAAGGTCCATCGAGGGGGATCCAGTCAGGAGCTGTTGGAAACAGAGCAGAGACTGGAGACAAGCTGTCTACAACATAGGTCCAAGGTAAATAGAGGAGTCAGGGCTACAGACAAGTTACTGATAACATAGGACTAGTGTCCACCCAGGAAAGGAGGAAGGAGTCAGGGCTAAAGACAGATGCGCTTGCAACATAGCTCAGGCAAGGCCTGACATCCCAGGTGTGGCTAGTCAGGGCAATTAAATCTTATTAGTGCACTCCAGCCCCAACATTGACAAAGTTTGCCTTAACAGAATTTAAATGTTACAAAACCCCAGAATTATCTGAAGCAATTACTGTAAGAATATAAATTTCCTCAGGCAGATGTGAATACCTCCTTAGATGCAAGAGAAATTTAAAACATTAATAATCTTGGGCCGTGTGATAAAGGTAAAAATAGTGATGATGTGTAGTGTATTTGACTCTGATATAACTACATCTCACTTGTTTATCTCTAAAAATCTGACTCGTACTGCATAAATTACTGTCAGAGCTGCAGTATAAGTAGAATCACAATAAAATTTAATTTATGTTTTTGTTCCTTTTTCCACTTTATAGCTGAAATATAAAGAAGCCTATGAGCACATGAAAGCTAAAGGCTATACTCTGGGACCCAAGGATGTTGGCTTTGAAAATGTGAAGAAAGTGAATCAAGTCATTAATGAGGTGCAGTAAATTTGTGTATTTGCTTTCTGTTGTATTTGTAGTGCCCAAAATATGAATGATGAGAGTACATTGACTGGGAAGGTTGTAGGATCCCTGTTCGTTGAGGCTTTTCAGAGCAGTTTAGACAAATATCCATCAAGAAAGTCAAGGGATCATTGATCCAGGCTTGGAGTTGGGCTGTATAGCTTTTTAAGTTTCTTGATAACTCTAACTTTCTGTAATCCTGTAGAACTGTTACCATAATAGAAAATCAATTGCAGCTTAATTTTATTAACTGATCTGCTGCTACTTGATTAAAGTTGCAGAGAAATTATTGTATCTGTATGACACTGGGTCTCAATAGTTTTAGGCTTTATATATACATAGTTACTTCTTTGATCATTGGCTTTAATAGGACAAAAATTAAACATACATATTTACATGTTTGTAGGATTAGTGTGTCAGAGTCTCCATGTATTAGAGGTGCTGCTGCCAAAAACAATTGTGGAAAACCTTTGCCTGACTAGAAAATAGTATATTTGTTCCCTTTTCTCTGGTAGTTATGCAATACCTGGCAAAAAAACCTGCCCTTAAGAGAGAAGTACTTACACTCTGCCAAGCTGCTTGCCACGTTCAGTTTTTAACATGTAGAATGCTGTCTCCTTTGTTACAGAGGCTGTATCGGGCGACATACCACAAGTACAAGGACAAGATTCATACCACTCCAGACACACCAGAAATCCGTCAAGTCAGAGCAACACAGGAAGCTGTCAGTGATGTATGTGTCTTTCTAACATAAAAACCAGAAGATATTTAGAACATTCAGCATGACCAAACATGTGAAATGCTATTTTTTTCTTTGTCTTTCAGCTAATCTACAAGTCAGATTTCTTTAAGATGCAGGGACACTTGATTTCCTTGCCATACACTCCTCAGGTGTTGCACTGCCGCCATGTTGGGGACATCACAAGTGATGTAAGCAACTTCTGTTAAGATACCTGGCATTTGAATACAACAGGCCTAATACTTGTGTACTGAAAGTGGAATTAGGCTTCTATCATTTGCATTCTATTCTGTAATAGATAAATGCTTTGTCACTGTGTTTAGGGACTGATTAATGAAATTATCCCAAAAGTTAACTTTTGATTTTTCTTTTTCTAATTGTCTCATAGAATAAATACAAAGAGGATCTGAAGTGGTTGAGGGGCTTGGGTTGCTTCCTGTATGATACTCCTGATATGGTCCGTGCTCGTGAGCTGCGTAAGCTTTGGGTGAGATTTTTCTTCTGAGAATCGTGTATAACAACAATTGACTTCTTTACGTGCATGCTATGTACTTCCAGGAAGTTAAGTACATGAAAATGACTTCTGGCAGAATTTCTTGCCATGCAGCTAGTTAGTTGTTTCAAAGCACTGTTAGCTTATGCTATAAAATTTTCTTTGCTACCCAGAATAATAAAAGCTTCCTAAGTAATACTGCTTTTCTTTTTCCAGTCTAATTACATATACACTGATACTGCAAAGAAGATGTGGCCTAAATGCAATGTGGTATTGGATACTCCTGGATACAGAGCAGTTCAGGAACTAAAAACCCATTTGAGTGAAGTAAGTTATGTATTATTTTTGCACGTCTTTGTTAGCTATGATTAAGATCAGACCCTCTCACTGTTTTTTCTGAAATACATAATACCTGAGATGTTACAATTGCAAAGCAATGATTGTTCCACTGCTAGATGAACACATGTAACAGAAGAAATAATTAATGGACCTGTCTTTTTCCAGCTGGTTTACAGAGCTGCAGGCAAGGAGCTGAAGACAAAATACACTTCCCTCCTTGATACACCTGACTTCTTAAGAGCCAAGCAAGGACAAAAAATACAGAGCCAGGTGAAAAATTTTGTACTGATAAAAAAAAAATCAGTGGATCCCCTCTTAATATGCTCTTAAAGTACAGCAAAATCTTTCCAGGCCATTTCAGAGCAATGTAGAATTCCTAGAGATGATGTTTCAAATGACTGTTGCTCACTTTTAAGTGGCAATGAATTTTCGTGTTGACCCGATCTCTGTAATGGACATGTTCAGCTTTGTCCAGCTGAAGCAGAGCATAGAACCCTGGTACAGTTCTGTTCAAATTCTCTGAAACTCCGACTTTATCAGAAGAATAGATATTTTTATCCATCTACGTTATTCACCATTATTTCTTTATTCACGTAGTATTTCTTTGTCTGAGTTATTAGCTACAAATTTTGTGGAATTTTTAAATTTGCAGAACAAAATGAATATGCTCACCAGAGAAAAACAGACCTTATGGATGCTTTCATCTAAAGCTTGGTCTGAACGTAGGGCAGAGAGGTCATACATGTCACATGCATTTGACTTCTTGGTTTGAGAGCATGTGACTGGCAGCTACAGAATATCAAGGGTACTGATAAAGAAAGATGAACTGAGATAGTATGGAAGACAAAAGAGCACGTTATTTTTTCCTGGGGTAAACTGAGTGGTTATGTATACATTGTGAATGTACAGACATTTTTCACAGAGATTAAGAAAAACTTACTTGAAATGTATATTTTTTGATTCTTCTTGCTGCAGTACTTGTACGTGGAACTTGCCACAAAAGAGAGACCCCATCATCATGCTGGTGGTCAGACTCCCGCCTTTACACATGCTAGGCATGTAAAGGACATGGTCAGTGAGGTAAGATATTGGATGGTTTTATTTGGTACCACTGTTTAGAAGTTTTATTTCTGGTTTTAGTGATAGTTTCAAGGCTCAAATCTGTTTATCCTTCATTTGGTTTTCTGTCTCATATGCTTAAGTTCCACGTTTCCTTTAGAAGTTGTGGTAAAGGATTGCACTTTTTTAGTATGTTATAGTATTTTATAAGATATGTGTTTCTAAGTGCTTGGTTGCAGAATCCGAGGTACGCTGGCTGCAAGACCAGGAAGACCTAGAAAGAGCTGAACAGCTGAGTTTGTTTCCCAAAGTTCTGACAGAAGTGCTTTGCAAGAATGACTTTATGCACTGGGTGTAGCACCCCTGGGCATTAACATAATACCAGATTAGCAAATGCTTCTAAGATTAAACTTTTCCCTTTTGCTGTCTCTCTTAGAAAAAGTATAAAATCCAGTATGAGAAGATGAAGGACAGATACACGCCTGTCGCTGACACACCGGTCTTGATCAGAGCCAAGAGAGCATACCTGAATGCCAGTGATGTAAGTAGTCCATGAACACTTTCACTGCTCCTTTTTCTTGGTTTCTTTATGAAAAGAACAGAAAAAGGATCAATGGGGAACAAGCATGCAAAGCCTAGAATATCTCAGTGTGGGTCATAAAATAGGTCACCCCATTTGCGTGTATATTTCCATTTGATATTATGGAGATTATTAAATTTTCATTTATTATAATTCATTTTTGTTTTCCATTGCACTGAAGTGTGGTCTTAAACAAATCAAAAATATATTTGAAGTAATTTGCTTACACATGAAATCTCCAAATAGTACGGACTGGAGTGAAATAATTGATGCTAGAGCCAGAAAAGAATAGCTTTTATCAGATATTTTCATCTCAGTTTTGTGTTAGAGGTAAACTTGCATGTCATTGAGAATGTGCTCATTTTTTAATTTAGAAATAGATTAGTGAGAAAAATTGTCTGAGCTGTTGTACATAAGGTTATTAAGGTGAAACTGATTTTTTCTTCAAGTGTGGAATAGTGATTTGTGATTTAAGGCAATGGCTAAGAGTTCTCTACTCCTTTGGGAGACCTTTGCCATGTATTTCAGATTGCACATTGTAACCTGAAAGGATAGGTACTGGGCCAGTGTTTTGTTGTAGTGATTAGTCTTACTGCTCTCTTAAGAATGATTTTTAAATGCTGCAAAGGAGCATCCCAGTTCTTTTGCACATCTGAATTTCTCCTCAGAGAAAGTCTTTCTTCAAAGACTAGAATGATCTTCCTGCTTTCTTCTAGATCAGGACATGGCAGAAGGGATGAATAGTTTTTTTTATGCTGAAAGTGGCACTTTGGATGTTCTAGAGAGTAGTCCTGTGATACATGGATGTTTTTTTCTCAGTCTTTGGTCTGAACATGAATAGGATGAAATGTTGCTTTAGATGTGCGAACTCCTTTTCTCTCTAATTTTCACCATAAATCTCAATCAAATTGCAACTGATTGTAGGCAACTGTAGCTTCTAAAAATTCCTCAGGGCTTACATTAGGATGTTGGACAGCGATATATCTCTGGATGTCATTCCTAAGAGGTAGGAAATTTAATTAAAACAATTCCTGAGAGATGATTATAATACATTTTTTTGTATGTTTTTTTTTCTTACCAGTTGCGCTACAAAGAAACCTTTGAGCATACTAAGGGCAAATACCACACAGTGAAAGATGCTTTGGATATTGTCTATCATCGAAAGGTCACCGATGATATTAGCAGCGTATGTATACAACATTTTCATTCCTAATTAGTGTTTGTCATTTAATAACCTAGAATATGCCATTTGTGCTATTGTTCTATTTAAGTGTGTCAAATGATCAGAAAAATATGATCAGCACTATTAATATTAACTTCTTTCCTTCTCTGGAATATTATACACTGGATTGCCTTTGATGTTACAAAGGGGAATGCAAGTTAATGTCGTTTCCACTGTTTGAGTTCTGAGGTTTCAGAAAAAGAAATGGCTTGAAACTACATGGTCTAGAGTGTTCTGTTCTCAAGTTGTTTTACTTCATTCTTCAATTTTCTTTGTAGGTGAAATATAAGGAAAATTACATGAGCCAGTTAGGAATCTGGAGATCGATCCCAGACCGCCCGGAGCATTACCATCATCGCGCAGTCACAGATGCTATTAGTGATGTAAGTTCAGATAGTTTCTGGATGTGAGAGGCTGAAAATTATAAGTAGGTTTCCAAAATGAAAATCAAGTCTCATTTTTGGAGAAAGGGAAGGCAGCTGAAATTTTCAAAGTGATTTACACTTTCACCTGGAAGATCTGGGAAATGACAGAGCAAATCAGACGGCTCAAACTGCAGCCTATCTCCTTTGGGAGTTAACAGAACAGTCTTAATTCATTTCAGTTGCCTTTGCTTAGATTTGTTTGCTAACCCTGTAACAACCTTTAATTGTATATGTCTGTACCTATACAATAACCCCTTAATTGTACAAGAATGAATGTTTTTTTTAATTCACACAGGAACTTGAATAGCTAGTGGTAGATTAGGTCTGTGAATAATCTGGTTCTATCAGAAAAGCATTAGTAACTGTAACATTTTATAATGGAATAATAATGGGCATAGCTCTGTTTGCAACACCTTGTGTTGAGGTGCCATTTCAGCATTCATCAGCTACCACTTGGTGCTGCTTAAAACTGAATCCTTTTAATGTTTTTCTAAAGGTTAAATACAAGGAAGACTTATCATGGCTCAGAGGCACTGGCTGTTATGCATGGGATACTCCAACTTTTACTCTGGCAGAGAAGAATAAGGTGCTCTACAGTGGGGTAAGTAAAACAGTCTGAATTGTTGCTGAATGTTGTTTTTATGTTTGCTTATATTGTAGATAAATTTTTCACATCCAGTGAATCCAGTTCTGACCTAGACATTGATATGAATAGTTCATGGTAGAAGTTAATATACAGCATCTAAAATTTCAGTTCTTACTGTAAAACAGAGGCAAAATGATCTTTTGCTTATCCCCTGTGTTCCTTGCAAAGCTATCAGCCCCATAGTAATTTTTCTAGTGATTCGAGGTCTACCTTTAAAATTATTAAGATTCAAAGTCTCTATTGCTTTCTTGATATGATAGTTCCATCCTGCAAACTACTACCTTTACAACTATTTTTTGTTTGTAGATATTTTAAATGCACGTATGCAATAATTCTACTGTGGTTTTGCTGCAGATTGTTTCTAAAATCATGTTCCCATTGCCTTACCCTTCTTTGGATTAACATTGGAATGGGTTTTTGTGCTTTTTCTTTTTTCTCCAGTGTAAGTACAAGGAGATATTCGAGAAGACTAAGTCTCACTTTAATTATGTAGCCGACTCTCCAATTAACAAGCATTTTAAACATGCAACTCAGTTGATGGATGGGGTAAGTGTTACAGATTTCCATAGAGTCTCATACTGAAGTAGCAGGTGTGTGTATGTTAATACTGAGTTGGAGGTTGATCTTCCTTATGAAATTGTAAATAAATCAAAATACATTCAGGCTTAAAGATGTCTGAAGGTCAGACTGAAATCATGGAAGACAAGGTTGTTCTTATTGTTTGTCTAAGTATTAGGAGAGGGCAGGTTTACAGTACCTAAAATTGAAATCCTGACCTCTGTTCCATTACTTTGTCATTGCAAAGAAACCTCTCCTTTGCTGACAGGTAAATAAATGCTAACTTAAATAATGCTGCTTGCTTAGTAACACTGTTGATTGTCATGTGAAAAAGGTATAGAGAGAATCACAATTGCTTTCCTGAAACATTGAAACAAAACTTTGTCAGTATTAGGAAGACAGTATTATGTCCAAAGTTACCATTAGCACTGTTTCATTTTAGATATTTTGCCTTGAATTCTCCCACTCTACTACTTACATTTTCTTACTTTTCTCCTGTAGTACTAAAGAAACAATAAACACAACACAGTAGCAAAGGGGGTTAATGAATGCCCCTGGGATTAAGATTAAAATCACCAGTGGAGTTTCTAGGAGTAGTACTGTACACCTGCAGGACAAAGCCCGTTGAAAACCACTGTGTTCTAGGTGAATTCTCATCAGCTGAGAGCTAGCATACCACACCAGGCTCTGATGTGTTTCATTAAAGCAATGTGTATTTAGACTCTTACATCTTGGTATTTTATTCTTTTTCACCAGACATTATGTTATATTGTTTACCTGTCAGTAAATGTATTACAGTATTATCTGTATTTCTAGGTGAGAAAAGCTGTTTCGCAACAGATACCATTCCAGTACCATTGCTATCAGTTCATACTCAATTTGATAAGCAGAGAGCCATAATTTGTTATGGAAGATTGCAAGGATTCAGTCTTATTGTTCAGTAGAGCAAATCAGGGAAAATTTAATATGAGAAATATAAATGAGTAAAATTTTAGCAATGAGGTCTCCGTACATTGAAACGAACTTGCCGAAATGTCTTCTGTTATGTGATTTTTTTTGTGATGAGGGTTTAGAGGTTTTGCTAACAAAATGTCTGATGATAACATAACATTGTATTTTGCCCTTGCATCTCATTGTGTTCTCTTTGTACTCAAATGAAGAATCTGTCAAGAATCTAGTTCCATACAGAGTTGCTTCTACATTTATTTTTTATGAAGAATGTAAGTCTTAAAATGGCTTATTGAAGAGTGGATGGGACAGACTATCTGCATCCTTAAACTGTAGATTAGGCCATCCAGTGGAAATTTAGAAATGTATATACTATTTGGAAATATTTTCTCTCTGTGAGTTTTTTAATGTATTTTTCTCTTTTGGATATGAACTTCAATCCCAGCCTTTCAATAGTCCATGTAAAGAGGTGTCAGTGGTTAGAACTATGATCTCTGTGTGTCTTCACTCTCTTTTAATTTGTTACACTGTATTATGCCGTTCTGAGCAGAAATTATATAAAGCTGCCTATGAGAAGCTCAAAGATAGGTACAGCGTTATTGTGGATGACCCTAGGAACCTCCTGGCCAAGTGGGGGACTACACTGAGCAGTCAGGTACTGTAGGAGCACCAGCCGGTGCTGCCCGAAAGTGCCTGGTTCGCTGACAGCTACTCCGTCCGTGTGAAACGTCTATAGCTGGCGGTGTCACAGGCTTCACCTGTGCTGTCGTGATGTTTCGGTTCAGTCGATCAGACAGTCTTTGTTTTGCCACCCAAAAAGAGTTATTACTTTTTGAGTGAGCTAATATCTACTGTATGTACTTTCATAAATTGTGCATCAATTGACATCAGAATTCTAATGCCTCTTGAAGTCATTAGAGAGGTGTTAAGAAATGCATGTTGTATCATGCATGTATTTTTTTATTACCTCTCTTTTAATTACCTTTACAAACATTATCTGCTACTCAGTTCTAGATAAAGCATCAGTGACATATTTGGCTTTTGAGTGCCCCCACCTTAATCTATAATTTACTCATACCTCCTAAAAAAGATTTTTGCAATTTCCTTGATGGGATAGTATGCAAATCATTTAATACATACTCTTGACATTCTTAATTATACAGATGTAAGTTGTATGCACATTTGAATGAATACATATAGTACCTTGCCTAAATCTCTCCACTCTCAAAGTGTCTGGGATCTAGAGCTACGTTTTTGTTTATGGTGTTCACAAGTCTCTCTTGTGCTTCGTTGCCATTTGCATGAACAGAAAAAGTATAAATCGTTTGCCAAGATGCTCCTGCAACATGGATGTAATGAAATTCTGAGGCCAGATATGCTGACAGCACTCTACAACACATACTTATGGAGCCAGGTAATATGAAGAGCTGCTGCTGTAGGAGACATTATGTATACAAATATATATATATTTATACAAATTAGCTGCTTGGACTTCTAATATTTAACGTTTGGAGTTCTCTAAATTTCTACAGATATCACACTCCAGAGTTTTGTCGATATGCTTAATGCTGGCTATGATAAAATATTTTTGAAAACAGAATATCTGAAACAATATTTACTGTAACTTGGACTTCACTTAGCTCAGGCTGATCTAGCCTCCATTTTCTCCTTTCGTTATAAATAAGTGTTATATATACTTCAATATAATAGTTCCTATACTTACATAAAGAGCGATTTTCCATACATTTAGGATTTTGTACGTTAGCTGTTCTTGATATTTTCCTAACCAAATTCTCATTCTGCCACCATTTCTTGGACTGACCACCCTTCATAACACAAGTCCCTTAAATCAGTATGCGCATGATGAAGTAATTTGGTGAGTAGATTGCAACATTTATCTGGCACTCTGCCTGAGAATGGTCTCAGATTGTGCCTAGATACGGAACAGAGTCATGTCTCGCTTGTAAGTTCTTTAGAAATGGTAGAGGTACACAGACCTATAGTAAATGGTGTTTTCATCAAATTCTTTCTCCGCCTACTGCTTTTAAGCAAGGCTAGCAAAGCAGTCCTTATGCAGTCACATAATACAGTTTATGAAAAGGAAATACTCTCTCCTTTCACCAGTTCTAATAATCAGAAGGTAGAAAGTGAGTATGATTCATCTATTTGTTCATACAGAACAAAAAGCCTAACATAACATATTTCTGATGATATTAAAGAAAGCCTGTAATGACTCTGATATTATTGTGAAGAATTAATTTTCCATAGTCTACATTACTTTAATCTGGCTTCCTGCATATATATTTTGGTTGTACCAGTTGGATGAAAATGTGGCTCGTAACTGATACATATTTGTATCTGCTGTGTAATCACAGCTGCTAGCAGTAACCTTGTTCTTTTCAATGGCAAAAATGATTCCTCACCGGGCCAGATGAAACAAGAATATAAATTATAACCTGGAAATGCAACAGTAGAAAACAATTACAGGAGAGGGAGCGAGGTGGGCTTCTTTGTTACTATTAGCGCAGTTAATAAAATTCTTCAGTAATAAGATACTTGAAGGTCTTTACTTGACATTTTTGTTCAATTTATCCATGGATTTCTATTACCTCATTAAAAACTCCTTGCAGGTAAGTTGGAGTATGTTTGAAAAAAAAAAAAAAAAGCACTCTGCCTGACCTGCATGTTCATCTGAGTTGACTTCATGTTTTGACCTGTTGTTTGTATATATTTTTTTATATTATGTCTTAGTCCTGTTTCAAAAGCATGGTTTTATTTTCTGATGCAAGATAGAGCATGAAAGTTCTTTTTAAGTATGTTCTGATGTTCTGACCTTTTCTTCCTGCCCTAAGGCTATCTACGATGAATTATCATTCTTGATGTACAGTCTGTTCTCACTGAATTCTGTGAAAACAGGTTGAGAGTCCTGAGTAGGGCCAGGTGATCTTTTCTTTAAGAAAGAAGTTATCAAGACACAAATTCTGCTATCAAAGTCTTTAAAATAGCCTGGCATTATGATATATGCAGAGGGTGTTTTTATCTTCTATTGTGTAAGATGTTTTATGTTTGACTTCATTCTGATGAATATTTAAAAATGAGATATTGTGCAGTTACAAATTTTAGCAGTCACTGATCTGCCAAGATTGCTTTTTTAGCTCAATCTTGGAGTTTTAGGATAGAAGTGAAGCTGTTACACTCAGTGAAATAAACATAAAATTAGTTACATGAATAGATAGGCAGCCTCTTAGGCAAATAAAGGGTTTGCAAAGTTTAGCTCATTGTGCATGTTCAGCTTTCATTGGCTTTAGTAGAAGGATTTTGCAATTTTATGTGTGAACATAACCATATCTCCTGAAGATGTTTTATCTTGGCTTTTGTTGTTAACATACACTCTGTCCCAATCACCAGGTTGAATACAAAAAGGACTATGAAAAGAAGAAAGACAAGTATACGACAATTGTGGATACTCCAGAACACTTAAGGACTACAAAAGTCAACAAGCAGATTAGTGATGTAAGTGTGGTCCGTCCTTTTCAAGCATACCTCCTGCTCTGAATGCTGACCTTTGAAGTACGATAATTCAGAATACAGCATTTTCAGTAGTCCATTACACAATGTTTCTCATCCTGATTTTTTCAATTGACACCAATAATGTCAAGAAATAATATAATTTATAATTTATGTCTTCAGATTATTTACAAGTTGGAATATAACAAAGCGAAGCCGAAAGGCTATACTACAATCCATGATACACCTATGTTATTGCATGTGCGCAAGGTCAAGGACAGAATAAGTGATGTAAGTAATACTTTGATATGTCATATTTTTAATTCATATGTAACACTGTCATTAAAAAATGGCTTCTTGTTAGAGTGTATTGGTTTTCTTTGCATGTAAAACTCCGTATGTATTTAATGTTTTTTCTAAAAACAAAAAAGAATATGAATGTATTCAGGAAGGTTTCTCGTGTAATGTTCTTCTGTAGCTCTTGGAACATTTTTGCTGGGTTAGAGCAGTCCTCACTAGTAATAAAAGCCATGAGCTGGAGCTGGTACCTAACTAAACTCTGGATCTGGGGAGTTTGTTTCTGGGTTTTCTTCCTCTATTGTCTAGTGGCTTTAGTGGAGCCTTGAATAACGTACTTGATACATGACTGTGCTTATTATTCTATGGATATTGTGAATATGTAAGGTAAATATTCTGATATAAAACAAATATGTGTTTTGATTATGGGGCAATGGAGGGCTAAAAAGAAGAGAGAGAAAGGAAGATGAAGTGGATAGAATACTATCATAGGATTTGGGAGTCCTGTTCCTAATTCCTCCTCCTACCCTAGGATTCTTCTCTGACCTTTGTATTGCTGTTCCTTAGATACCCGTAAATAAAATGAGGATACTAGCACTTCTGTAACTCAATATAGTACTGTGAGAATAAATAGCATGAAAGTCATTCAGGTACTACATGGATTATCTATATAATGAGTAAGTCTAGGAGGAAAAAAATAACAATATTATCCAAATACTAATGTGGATCATTAAGAGACAAAGTTGTTCAAAAGCGATCTGTGAATTGAAGTATGGTTTTTTTGGTTCCAAACTGAGTGCTGAACTTGAGATTCTATAAAGAAATTTTCAGAAAGCATTGAATGTGCCTATCAGAAGACAAGCTTCTTTAAAGCATTTCTATTAGGTGCAAAAACCTGGAAACAGGCAGAACTGCTGTTCATGTGTAGGTTTTGTTCAATCTTCGTCTGTGCTTCATGGTGAGCTACACTTGTGACTTTTTCTGTTAAAAGAGAACTGCTGCTGAAGAGGACCCTTCTTTCAGGCAGATGGTTGATACCAAGTTGTATTAATAGAATTTATTTTTCTTCTGTTAAGATTTTGATCTTGACAGGAACAATTTTTAGTATTATGTTTTTCATATTTTGATCCTTTCTTGTTGATGATGATATTATCTTTGTAAACATTTTTTATGTTTGTCTGTCTTTAGCTGAAATACAAAGAACTGTATGAGAGGAGTAAATCTCACTGCAATGTCATAGCAGATTCAGTTCATATCAAGACTCCAAGGCATGCATACAAGCTGAACAGCAATGTGAGTTCAGTTTCATTAATACTTTAATTTTATTATGATTAGTGTTTGGGACTGGCAATGAAGAGCACGAGAAATTATTTTCAGTTCCACTGAAATTTTTTGAGCTTAGACATTACTGCTAATTCTTATGCTGCTTGAATAAAATATATGTTAATTTATTTCATATCAAAGTGCTCACTCTTGCAAGTTGTCCTTGAGGTCACTTGAGGTTCCTCATATGTCACCTATCTTCTGTTCTTCTAGTCCCCCTCTGTTTTCCTGACAGAGATGTAACTGTCCCCGAAATTCTCTGTGTTGATGTTCTTGTAGACAAAGTTAGCGCTTCACGGGAAGCTTTCCTGTATTTCCCATTATTGGTGGCCCAGCATCCACTTCAATAGGCATGGAACTGAAATCACTCACCTTCTTCAAAGTCATGACATGTTTTCAGTCATTCACAGCTTTCTCCACCCAGCAGTGGAGATGTGGATAGATTGTGATTCAGAGGAAAGCCCTAGTCTGATGGAGCTGCACTTTTTTACCTCTTCTCTCTTTAATTGGTCTAGACAGAAAGAGAATTTGCATCTATACGTAAGTCATGTGTAAAGTACACAACTTCCAATTAACTTCTTTTTTTCTTGTTGTTTCACTATAAACAGCTTGATTATAAGAAGAAATATGAAGCAGCCAAGGCCCACTGGCACTGGATTGCTGATAGGCCAGACTTTGTTCAAGCAGCCAAGTCATCTCTGCAACAGAGTGATGTAAGAAAGTCAGAACAAACTGAATACTCCCTTTCCCCACATCTGTCATGTTCAGAAAAAAAAAAAATTGTAGGAGATTTGAGACTCTTCTTTTATTTTTTCTTCCTGCAGTATGAATACAAACTGGACCGGGAATTCCTAAAGGGATGCAAACTCTCTGTCACAGATGACAAAAACACAGTATTGGCTTTAAATAATGCCATCTTGGCCAGTGATGTAAGTACTTGAACACTCTTTTTTTTCTTTTTTAGTTCTGCTAGAACTTCAATCACCACATGAACTACTTTATCGGAAAGATGATTGGACTGAGAAAGAAGCTTTGAAAAATTGTTCTCAGTCTCACTTCAGTATTTGATTTGACTTGTTTATTTCATTAACAAATTCTCAAAATCTGAATAAATTTGGTCTCATAAATGTCACTGGCCTAGTTCACAGACTAAATAAATATTCAGAGTTAACATTGCCTGAACACCCTAGACCTTTGGTATATCTCTTCATTCCTGTTATTGAAGTGAAAATATTATCTGGAGAAAACAACAAAAACAAAAAGCTGCAGGTATAACTTGTGTATAACACAAAGTATCTTTTACAATTACTAACAATTTATTCAATGTATTAATAAAATTCCAAGTGAGAGCTATAGGAATATCTAGATGGAAAGGATTTATTATCTTGGAAAACATCAAAATCGGGGACTGTCTGCAAACTTTTGCACTAACAAGCAGTCACAACTATGATAATTTCTTTTTAAATTGCCACAAGACAAGACACACATTGCTTAAAATGATGTATTTTCTTTCTGCTAGATAAAATACAAAGAGAAGCATAACAAAGCTCGGGGAACGTACCATGTTGTTCCAGATACACCTCAGATCCTCCTGGCGAAGAATGTCAGCTCTCTTGTATCTGAGGTAAAACATCGGACAGTTGTTTATTAATCTACATACATCCTTTGAATATTGGGGGGATGGCAGGGTACATGGACCTTGCATTGCTGTTTTTTACCTATTTTTATTCTGTGCTTTTAGAACAAATACAAAGAACACAGCAAGAAGCAGCTTCCACATGGGTCATATACAACCCTGCCAGAGACACGAGACACTGCTCATGTCAAAGAGGTGACCAAGAATGTCAGTGAGGTAAGTAACTAGTGTGATAACAATTTATGGTGTGATTATTATCTGCTGCCTATAATTGATTAGAGTGTTACGTGTTTTAGTCTACACGCAGCACATTTACTGTCTCATCGTAAAATGCCTAAGGAGTCAGAAAAGTTTAATTCCTACCAGAATGAGACTTTAACAAGGAGCTAAACACATTTTGTTTGGAATTTGTTGAAATACTCTGGAGAAAAGTGACAGGCTGGAGTGCTAATGGGTACCCTTAATTCAGATTTTATTTTTCACAGAACACAGTTTAAACACAAATCATTATCTCCAAATAGCAAGCTTTTGTAATCTGAAGTGCAAATTATGACAAACAAGGCAGGGACCATACATTTTGAGGCTGAGGAGACTGTGTTTTATCTGTCTTAACAGTTTCAGTGAGCTGATTTCTGAGTTTTAGTAGCATTTATCTCTATGTGAAATTTAAAAAATCACACATGGCCCTTTTTGCTTTTAACAGACAAACTATAAAAAGAAGTTTGTGAAAGAGAAAGGCAGGTCTAATTATTCTGTCATGCTGGAGCCTCCCGAAGTAAAACATGCCATGGAAGTTGCTAAAAAACAGAGTACGGTAAGTTTGTCTTGTCTTTTCATGAATGAAATAACTTGTGTAAATAAATTCAAACAAAGTCAGCTGGCAAAAGCAAAAGTTTACGTGCTTCCAGATTTCCTCCCAGCCTCCATGTTCAGGGTAATTCTGAAAGATGAAGGTGCAAATATTTACAGATGTAAAATTGCACTGAAATAAAGGATTTATTTGAAAATTGTATTTCTATGTAATCATGTGGTAGGATTTAAACTTAATTTTTTTTTTTTCATTCCTTCAAATGCAGACAGACTTGTATGTGCTTATTTCTTCATTTGTAGACAATTAGCAAAAACAGATTCCCAAATCTATTCCTTGGGAAATTTTTTTTTTTAAATTCCCATGCACTATCGCAGCAATTTTGCTGTGTCATTAGGTGTATTCCTCATGAAAAAACCTCAGTAATTTTTTTTCCTCTGTCTATCATCACGGATTAGATTGAGTACAAGAAAGATGCAAAGTCAAAGCTCCACTACACACCTATAGCGGATCGACCAGATATTAAGAAAGCAACTCAGGCTGCCAAGTTAATTAGTGATGTAAGTGCTTTTTATATCTTCTGAATAATTCTTTAGCAATAATTTTTCTATTAAAAGCAGTGTCAGTAAAATAATTAAAATGGAATGTCATCATTACTAAACTATACTTTTTTCTTCTTTGTTAGATTGAATACAAAAAGCGTGGAGAAGCTGGCATTGGCGTAACCATGCTGGGACGTCCAGACATTGAACTGGCAAAGGAGGTGTCCAAGCTAACTAGCCAGGTAATAAAAAGTTGGTGAAACTTTGAATCAGTGAAAGAAATGAGACATGATATGAACTTACAGAGTAATACTAATATTATGACTGAAATTATTTCTAGATTAGGGCATAAGGGAATATTTTAAAGGGATTGTTTTAAAGTACAAATTAATTCCCAATGCAAAGTATTTCTCTGTTAAATAAACTTTTCTAGTGATGTACTAAATGCCAGTAATGGATGTATAGAAACTCCTTAAAATGATGCTGTGACAAGATCTTTTAAATACTAAGGCTGAAGTGCTAGCCATATTCTCTTATTTCAGCTTTTCTGGGTATTGGCTTTAAAAGAAGCAGCCTTTTACCTAACTCTTCTTATCCATCCTTTATGTGATGGACATTCAGTTTCTTTCAGCCACTTTCTCTCTATCTTGTGCCTTTAAAAGCATCTTCTGTTTTGAAGCTAATATGTTATGGAAGCTTCCTGACTTTTATACAACGCTTGTGTTCTCCAATCAATCTGAAGCACATCCTTGCAATTTTCTGTGACAATTTTTTCTGCCAGGACCTCAGTTCACCTTGGTTCTTTCTCACCACTTCATGCTTTAATCCTGTAATAGTTTGCATTTCTGATCTTGCTTTCTTGCTACGCATTATAGGCAGAGTACCTCAAACGACATATGAGAGGGCATGGAGCTGCATCCTATGATACCCCATGGATGAGAACCTTTAAGAAAGCTAATATGCTAAGTAGTCATGTAAGATAATTTTAAGTGACACATCTGGGAATGCCATTTTTATGCATCTGTCTCTTGCTTGCATATTATCTTACAATTCCAAGCTGATAAAAGAGTTTCTGATGCACCAGTTGCGCTGGATCTTTTTTGTGTCAAAGGTGTTGAATGTCGCAAAACTTGTGAGTCTGCTCCGTTAGATGTGACCTGCTTTTTTTCCTCTGGAAAGACAGTGCATGGGAATTCTGTGGGCAGTGAATTTGTCTGTTTCAGAAACACCACATGAAGCTTGAAATGCTATTATGCCCTTCATAGTGGTTTTGGAACTTCCAGTATTTTTAATGGAAGTTTCTGATGCACTCATGCAGTGTGAAAACTCACTTTTTTCACAAAAAAAAAACTTAAAAACAGACATACAAGCTTGAGCTAGTTGTCCTGGAACTGTGCAAAAAATGGAAATATGTGTATATGACAAACCTGAACAATGGTGCTGGTAATTTTCAGTGAACAGTCATACCATATGTATAACATTCACACTTGAACTTCATTATAAGTATTCAAACTTCTATTTAAAGTATATCAAGCTTAGTGTATGACTGAGTCAGCCCCAGAGCCTCTGAGAAGTGTAGCCTGCAGTGATTGGATGGCACATAGTTTGGTATATTTCTTGCCATCACAAAACCTTTGGAAAACAGAAAAACGATGGCTGCATACCAGTTTTTGAAGTAGCTGCAGACAGATTTGTGCCATTTCAGTTTTGCACGTGTGTTTTCAAATGAAAAAAAGGGGGATTATGATTTTTCCATGTCTAGCCATGACTGCTGCATGTAACTGTCGCATGTTTGAATGTCAGCCACTGTTTGTCAGAAGAACCAAGAATCTTTTCAGTAGAACCAAGGATTCTTAAACTGAACAACTGAACTACAAGAAAAAGAACTACATTTATTCCCATTCAGTGATGATGAGATCCTCCTTTTCCATGCTTTTTCTCTAGTGCTAGCCAGTTCTCCTCTTAGTCTTATAAACATGCTTTGATGAGATAATTTTAGTTCTGAGACAAAACTAACTATTGTAGATGCAGTAAGGGAGCAAAGAATAATTGGCATAATCTTTAACTTTGATTTTCTCTTAGGCATTTCTTCTCTTAACCTTCTCCTTCATAAAGCAGTATGTCCAGTTTGTTTATCCACTTGCCTTTTTTATTTGGCTTTCCTCTGCCTGTCTGGCACGCTTGCTTTTAATTTTACATAGATCTTCCAGTAACATTTCTTCTGGGCTTAGAAAAAATGAGCTGTTTTGCATGGTGGTCTGATCTTGATCGTGTGTTGCGTAGCTTGGAATGTGTAACAGATTCTAGTACATTTCTGCTTGGTTTTAGTATTTGTGAGGTCAGAACCAATACTGATTTGTTTATGTCCAAACTGTTAATGTTCTTTGTTTTCTTATAGCAGCTATATAATTTCTGGATTTGCCTGTTTCACTGTGTGCTTTATCTGAATGTTGGCTTATTTTGCAAAGCAAAAGAGTGACAGTGGTATCCAGCATGAACCATACGGTGCTGTATGGACAAGAATGTGACAATGAATTCAAAGTGTAAAATGCGATTGTGGAATGTGATTGAATTCTGCATTCAATCGTCTTTCTTTTTTTCCTAATATAAAATCATCTGTTTACATTTCTGTAATTGTCATAAAAAACCTCTAGCATGAGTCAGCTGCTCCTCAACTTAGCTATCAGTTCTTCAGTATTTTACTTCTTTCAATTTTCACATAAATATTGCTTGGGAGATCAGGGCTTTTTCTGAAGAATGTTTAATCTTTTTTCCTCATCAGCCACAGTCTTACATTTCTGCATGCTCTTTATAAGTCTATTTTTTTTAATATATTTGGTCCTCAACAAGATCAAATTCTTTCAGAACGATTGATAATGGTTTTTCAGTTCTTGTTCTTTGGATCAGAGATGGGAGTTGCTAGGTTGTTTAGTACAAAGTATCTCCAAGGAAGTGTAGACTGGTAAACAGAAAGAAATGTTGCCTCACTGGTTTCCACACCAGGCAGAATGCTACTACAGGGAATATACGACAAATCCTCAGAATTCTGCTCGCTGTTTATGCTAATGGTGATGAGCAGACATACTAACTATGGGATCCATTTAGATAAGCCAGAACTTAATCTTTAATACTTTGAGTTTTTCTTGTACTCCTCAGTAACTCCTCTGAGACAATTTTATGTATCTCTGATAGCAAAAAAAAATAATAAAACCAAAATATTCTCAATGGAACCGTCCTTTTTATAGGTGTACAATAAATAGTGACGAATTAGCCTTCAGCTGCACCTGCAGCAGTGGGATGGGACAAGTCATGGTGGATGAAGGACTCGCCCTCATTTAAGTCATTAGCAAAACTCTCATTCCTATCAATATTTCTGTGCCTTCAGCCTGGGTCTGCTGGAATATCGTGGCGTACATGACTATGGTTTACCTTGCTGATACTAATCTGGTTTGGAAGTATTACTAAGCCTCTAGCATAATCTAATTCCTAGTAATTAATTGTATCACTGTTCTGTTTGTGATCATTAACATCCTTCTTCATCTCTGATGTATACAGAACACAGTATGTGTATAACAGTATATATAAAAGTATTTTATATATTGCCATCTTCAGTGTTTATATGTCTTGAGGGAGTTTTTAAAGCTCATACTGCTCCAAGAAGAACGTAAAAAGTTCTTTTAAATATTCTTCATACTTGTGTCAGTTGTTGTCTCTTTGTGAAATAGGCTGTCTTTCGTCTATGCAGATTTCCCATCAAGTGAAAAATTCTTCATCTCCGAGGGTCAGAATTTAGCTGTATTTTGTAAACATACTTCTCTTGACTATGTTATTTTTACAGTGAGGAGATGTAACCTGTGCACTGAAACTGCAAGTGGTATTTTGTAAATACAGACGGAGATTTTCTTTCCATGTCGGGTCATCTTTAAAATAGCCTTTTTTCCAGTGGATGCCTTTGAGCTGCTGCATTTTGATTCTTCTGCTTACCATCAGCATTGAAGTAGGGTCTCTCTGCCTTGTGCACCCAAACAAATGAGTACTCAAGAGCAGTTGTAATACCTGGTTGTTTTTTAATTCAGGTGAAATACAAGGAGAATTTTTCCAAAGAGATGGGTAAAAAGCCAAAGTATGATTTAAAGGAGGCTAAAATCTACAAAACCATGAAAGATGCTCACAACATGGCTAGTGAGGTATGTTTACTTATGCTTCTCGTCAAGCAAAATTAAAAGTTTCAGATTTCTTTAACAAAGACCGCTTTTCTGTTATTAATACATTCAACATCATAGGGTTTATTAGCAGTCTCCTTTTCTGATTTTTTTTGTCCTTTCTTTCCTGCAGGTGAAATACAAGGCAGATTTAAAGAAACTGCATAAGCCTGTCACAGACATGTCTGAATCGCTGATCATGAACCACGTCCTGAGTACCAGCCAGCTCGCCAGTGCCGTAAGCTCATTAACCTATCCCCAATCCACGTGATTTTTCCATTACTGTTGACTCCATTCTGAATTGATCTCTGCTAACTGTTTCTGTAACAATTACTCCTGCTGTTATTGGTAATGGGAAATCACCTGGTAGTGATCTCTTCCTCTATGTTCTAATGACCATTTCCTAGTTAACTAGCGACTTTGCCACTTTTGTCCTCTGGGAAGTGAAATCTTTATTAGCTGTAGAACTGCTAATATTTAAAATCCTCTAATAACTTTTAGTGGATTGGTTCTTTATTACATTTTAACTGATTACATCACACTAACAAATACTATTTTCTTATTTTTTTACTTTTTTCTTTACTGCTTATATATTTAAAATTTTTATTTTTGTCTGTTTTTTTCATTTCTTGTTTGTTTAACATCCCCTTGTTGTAGATGTACAGAATTATGCCTAACAAAAGATGTGATAATTTTGCTGACAAAAGACAAAAACAATTATTGCCTCCTACAGGCTTTTCATTTATCCATTGTGTTTTCTTTTTTCTTGTTCTTTTTTTAATCCTGGTTTTGAAAAAAATCTTTGTTGCAATGAAAATGACCAAAAAAAGATAACTGTTCGCCCACATCTTTAGAAGTGATGTTTGGTACTGGGAGTTAAACTTCTGGTTTTTGTTTTGCTTTTTGTATTTCTAATTTCTCTTTGATGTTCCATTGAAGTGTTGCTTTGATTGGACCTAAGAAGTAAATTTGCTGAGGGATTTTTTTTTTTATTGAGATGATTTTTGACACCTTCCCTTCAGTACCAGTACAAGAAGCAATATGAGAAGAGTAAGGGTCACTACCATGTGGTGCCAGATAATCTTGAACAGGTTCATCTAAGGGAGGCATCAGAACTACAGAGCCACGTAAGTTCGTCATGTGTTTCTCGTTAACCCCACTCACTGAGTACCAGTTTCCATCACTGAAGTCATCCTAGCAAATTCTCTAGTACAGAATCATCTCTGTGCCTGTTTGCTTTATAAATGCTGCACACCTGAGTACACAAGTCAATGAGAAACTTTTGCACATTTGAGAGTTTAGAACACGTATAAAATATCTGTCTGGTTTCTTTATTCTAGTGTAGATCTCACAGGTATTTATGTCTGTTGTATCTGGATCTTTTTACACAGCAAAATACATTTATCAGGGTGATTTCTTCTATAGAATAAAGGACATAGTAAACACAGAAACTGGTAATTGAAAGAAGCAGTGTTGTTGCTGACAGTAGATTTTCAATTGCTATGTGCATTCCAGCCTCAAGTGATAGAGGAGAGCTCTGCCATGCTTTTTCTGCGTCCAAAATTGCTTTAACCAAAACAATACCTACTGGAATACAGCAAATGATGAATCATTCCAGAGGAATCAATCAGATTTGGTCTCTAATCCTCTCTATTCCAGCTATTTACTGACTGTAAAGCAAGAGAGAAATTACTGCTAGAACATGAAGGGCCATAGTTATTGTTCTGCTGCCTGGCACAGAGAAGCAAAAAGGTTACATAGCAAAGGACTGTAAGAAAAAAGTTGTTAATCAGTTTGTAATTAGTTAAAGTCATGACTTTTTGCTCCAGTTTGAGATCAGGATCTGTCTCAGCTAAAAACATAGCATTATCTCATTCAGCAGTCCAGAAATTGATGCCCTAAAGGCTGAGTACTGTAACTTGAAGCAACAATACCTTCATCATTGTGGACATTTTATTTCCTGGACATCCAGGCACAGAATTAGTTACCAAGATGCTAAACTGCATCTTTTCAAGCCCTGCCTCTAACACTCCAAGAATCCATTAACACGTAACGGGCTGAACTCAGCCAGGGTTCTGAGCAGTCTGAGTGCCTTCAAGACAGATTTTCACAGCTACCTGTCTTCCTTCTTATCATCAGTAATTTCTTGAAATTTGAGCTGACACTTCTTATTCTCTGCAACAGGAAATAAATAAATTGGTAGAATATTAGGCCACACACATTTTGCTGCAGGCCTGACTTTTGATTTTTCATTTTATGGTCAATAACAGGGATTTCAGGAAGGTAAACAGTACTAGGCGTTCATTTTTTACCAGAGATCTGTTGACCAAAGTAGGCACATGCTAGTCGATGAATCAGTTCTTTGATGATTCAGGAGCGTAACTTTTTTTCCTTTTCTTCTCAGGTGAAATACAGAGAAAAGTATGAGAAGGAAAAAGGAAAGCCTATGTTGGACTTTGAAACTCCAACATACCTTACTGCAAAGGAATCGCAGCTCATGCAGAGCGAGGTATGGTTAAAATCAATACTGACAGACTAAAGAAACCTTAAAATTGATTTTTTTTTTTATCATTGAACTTTCACAGTGATTTAGAGAGGCAATTATACTTGCACCTTGTGCATGCTGATAGACTGAAAAATTATAGCTATATCATATTTCTTCATATTGGTTATGAAATACTGCATTTAAAATTCATGAAGCTTTCCTGTGTCATGATAAAGAGTAGATTATCTGTAATTTTTCATCAAGAAGCTATCAGTAAATGAAAATTAAGCAAGTCTTCGAGTCTTTAGAAGAAATGTAATATGAATTATATTTCACTTAAACTCTTGCAGCAGGAGTGTAGTATGTGTGTTGGTTATCATAGTCCACAGAAAGTACCCTGGCTATTCTTTTCATCTCAGAACTCTGTTTTTGAGAAACCCATTTATTTCCTGTTTGTCTCCACTGTCATAATGTTCTTTGCTGACCTGTCATTCTATTTCCTCGAGCAGTTATTTTCTGTTTGTTTGAAGTATAACCTCGTTCTGTCAGATGAAGGCTTATGCATGCTGAAAAACACTTGTGTAAGGCCATTAGTCATTGTGTTTGAGTGATTCCATTGAATGCTTTCTCTACATATACAAATAAGTAGGAAAAAAAAAAGGCAGGGTCAGGTCATATTTCCATTGGAAGTAATGAGCTGCTTCATGGGCTTCAGTAGAAACAGGATTTATGCCTGTAGGTGCCTACAGCGCTAACTGTAGCAGATTGTCATTGTGACAGTAATGCCAAACCACTGCTCCATCCTCCCAGTAGTTTTTCATGTCATTAAAAAGAATGTAATAAATATTTGCTATTTTGCTTTTTTTCTTCTTACTCCCATTAGAAAGAATATAAGAAGGACTTTGAAGAGTCCATTAAGGGCAGAAACCTTACTGGCTTGGAGATTACACCATCCTTATTACATGTCAAATATGCAACACAAATAGCAAGCGAGGTAGCAGTTATTCTGTGCTTATTTCCTCTGCCACGTTAAATAATTCCACTAAGTATTCTCAGCAGCTTTTCTTCTTCACCACTTTCTTATTCCTAACCATTCACTTTAAGCATGTTAACATATATTTTGTGTTGTGATCTAATTTGTCATGGACATTTATTTCATTGTTTGTTAACTGTATTCATATTTACTGTGTCCCTTTGACATTCGTCAGCATAACTGTTCCATGGCAGAGTGTACATGTGTGTGCAATTGATCTTGAACAATAATGACGATACTCTATTCCATTGCAGTAGTTCTTATATAACCCTATACAATATTCTTGGGTGTTTTAAAAAATTCTTTTTTCTTTTGGAGCTTTTGGAATTCTTATTTAATTTTTTTCTTAAATTTTTGCAACAAAATTATAGAGTGCAGCACTCTCTTCAATTTGGTTTTGCAGTTTTCTTTTTTTTTCTTCTACAGAAAGAGTACAGGAAGGATCTGGAGGAAGGTGTCAAAGGTAAAGGACTAACAGCCTTAGAGGAGACTCCAGACATGTTAAGAGCGAAGAATGCAACTCAAATCCTGAACGAGGTGTGTCCAAAAGCTATTTAGATGTAACAGCCTCCAACTGATAAATGTTTCTGGCTGTAGAACACTAGCATGAACTTTGTCATTCCCTAGAAACTCGAGTAGAGAGAAAAAAGAGAATGTGTATGGCTGGCTGAGGATGGAACTGGGAGCCTGAACTTGTAACTGAGCTTTTCCTGGCTTTGCAGTTACTGTCAGGAATATAGGTGGGAAATGGGTGCCGTGCTCAGTAGTCAGCTCAGTCAAGGGATAGGCTAAACCTGCACCGTGACGCAGCAAGGCGAAGTGTAGGAACCAGAGGCGTCAGTTTTGTTAAACAGGTATCTTAGGTCAGGAGCTTTTACCAAGGATTAGGAACTAAGGACCAAGGCTGAGGAAACACGAAGCAAAGTGAGAGATCGGAACAGGACTACAATGAGGGACCGCCAGTACTGGCGTACTTCTGCTCTGGGAGGTGTGCTGTGCAGCAAAGAGCCCTTCTTGGATGCGTTACGCCTGATGGGTGAGTCGGGAACTCCAGCCACGCTCACGAGCAGCAACCCCTGCCCAGGACTGATGCCCAGTCATGAGGCCGAGGCAGTCCTCCCCACTTTGGTGGAGAGCGCTGGCCAGCAGACGGTCAGGGTGCAAACCTAACAACGACTTTATTTATGTGGTGGGCTGGTTTAATAAATATTTCGTAGTGATTGTTTTCATAGGAGAAGATTAGCTCGTATTTTAAGGGCTTTACCATCATCAGGCTGAAAGCCGAAAAAAGTAACGTTCTAGTGTAACTTATGATTTTGTTTCTTAACAAAATACTCTTAAAATAAGCATCCTTACCAACAACAGCATTCGGTACTTAGTAGCGATGAGTTTTTCAGTTATTCAAAGAGCCTATATTTTATTACCAGAATATTACAGACATATTCAGTTAAATTCAGCAGAGTTGGCATAGAGAGATATGAATTATACCGATCTATACAAAATAAATCTTTTAGACCTTAGTGGAAGATCTCTTTGGGAAGAGTGGCTGCTGCAGCACTGAGTTCTGGGGGAGAGTATTTGTTCCAAAGGGCCCAAAATGTCACGGAGAATCCTGACACCTTGCATCTTTTGGACATGCTCAGTGTGAAACGTCTGTGACCACTCTTCACTACCACGTGTTTCATGTGCTGCTTGCTCTCTGATGCTTCTCTTCTATACAAGTTATTGTTTTGCCCTGATCACCTCAAGGCACTTACACTTTCAGATTACTGATGTGAGAAGGAGAAGTGACTTAATGCAGCTGGCCTGTAGGGTGCTCCATTTACTGCTGCAGTAGGGCTGTTTGTCCTCAAGATTTAAGTGATAAAGTCCACACTTTAAAGACATCATTTGTGTGTTTACTTGTGAGTTTATTTTAGTAGTATTCCTGTTTTGTGGTGTGGTCATGAAAAGTTCTGAAGTTGCTAAATGTATGGCATTCATTTTGACAAAGTATCTATTTACTGTCTTCATCTGCAGAAAGAATACAAAAAGGCCTTAGAACTAGAAATCAGAGGAAAAGGTCTGACAGAACTGGCTTTGGAAACTCCGGATTTTGTGAGAGCAAAGAATGCCACTGACATTGCCAGCCAGGTCTGTGTGAATATCTCATATGTCACATCCGATGCCTTCTTTAAAGGAAAATTTATGAACAGGTTTTTTCTGATTAAACCAAATGAAAATTGTTGTTGAGGTATGATTAAGGTGCCTAAATGTGAGCTTTCCCCAACAGATCAAATACAAGCAATTGGCAGAAATGGAGAAAGCCAACTACACCAGTGTTGTTGATACTCCCGAGATTATTCATGCCCAGCAGGTCAAGAACCTTTCGAGCCAGGTATCTTGAGTGAAGCAATTTAATCCTTGTTCACGTGGGAACCTCAAGTGGATGCTAATTTGGAGCACCTAAATAACGACCTGTCACAACATTCAGGAGACAGACCAGAAAAACAAATTTCTCTAGAGCTGTGATGTGGCATCTCTTACTCTGAAATTCCACTTAGATATTGAAATTAATTTGTTTTAATACTGTATAAAATCAAACAATAATTTCTGTTGCTTTTGCAGTACCAAAGGTAATTTTGTTCTAAGTAGATTTAGCTTAATTTTCCTACTCCTTCATAACCTAATGTTTAAAATCAATCTTACACAGAGGCCTAATCTGAATTTATATCAGACACAGAAGTACTCGTGTTTCCGTAAAGACGGGCATTATGCAACAATAAGTAATGCTAGATTGTCTGTTACTGCTTTGGTATTAATGGAATATATTTTGTATTTTCTATCAGAAAAAGTACAAGGAAGATGCAGAAAGGACCATGCCATACTATGTGCCTGTAGCAGACACACCAGAAATGCAGAGAGTCCGTGAGAATCAAAAGAACTTCAGCACAGTACGTATATAAATCATAAACACTGTTACTGTCAAATAATAAAAACTGTTCAGCTTTTTTTCATTCAATAAGGTCCCGATATCACACTCTAATCCCAACTAGGCTGCCTTTATATTCTCAGGGATCTTCAGTTAAAGGGTCCGCTACGTATGCAGCAGCCCACTTACGCGTTACCCAGGGAACCAAAAGGATTCTGTAATTTTCTTGAGAAAACTTTCTGCTGCACTGCTTTGGCAATTTCTTTGCAAGCCATAGAGGATTATCCTTACAGAAGTTGTCTGGTTTTGTCAGTGGGACTACCTGCAAGAGTGTATGGTCAGCGAGGGAACTCCACAATCTGACTGGAAATCTTTAACTTTCGTTCTTGAGACTTAATTGTTTTAGATAGATACAGTCTGGCACCTTTCAAGATTTTCAGTAAGTCTAGTTAAGGATCTCCTATTGCTAATTTGAATGAGAATACTTGTAACTGTAGAACACCTTTATATCACTAATGGTGGTTTTAAAATGACCTCCTTATAAGGTGTACATGAAAATATTTTTTTTTCTTGTCTTCAAAGAAAACTCTGTGAGTAAATTTTTGTGGCATAGAGTCAACATTTGACATTTTACTTTAACTTTTTCAACAGCTTCAGTATCAGTGGGACCTACAGAACAGTAAAGGAAAAGTTACAGTTGTACAAGACACACCAGAAATGCTGCGTGTGAAAGAAAACCAGAAGAATTTCAGCTCGGTATAGTTATTTTCTGTTTTCAGTTCTCATTCCAAAAAATACAGTTTAATGTGTTTAATAGAATAACTATTCTTGGCTCTTTTCTTACAGGTACTTATGTTCTTGATCTGCTAAAATGTGTATAAGAATTTTGTCAAACAAAACTAATACTATTCCAAGTAGATTTAGTTGTGTTTTTCTGCCCCTTTTTCTCTACTGCTTTTTGTGGAATGCCCTGGTTGCACTCTTTCACATATACATAGCTGTGGTATAGTTATCAATCCTGTACTTAAATTGGTATTACTAGTGTCCACCTTTCTTTTGTCCTGGTACCATGCAAATTGTGTAGTCTTGTGGCGTTGCAACTGTCTTCTTTCAGTGAACAGTGAGCTGTCTGCCTGAGTTTTGTCACATTTCATGTGTTGCCGTGAGGCACCTAAAGGCTGCTGTCTCGTTTTGCCACTAGCACCATTAGCATAGTAAGTAACTAAGTGGAAGACACTTGTGTAAAACATAGTAAAACAAATCAGAACAAAAAGAACAAATCAGAACAAATACCAGTCTTCAATCCTAAAATCAGCCTCCAAATGTTTGTACATTCTGCTTAAAATGCATTCCTAGAGGTAGCGGTGACCGGCCCCTTTTCGGCACAAATGACGCTCGCAGCAGGACAGACTGCAGATCTGCCAGAAGGCAGTGACTGGAGAGAATCCTCCCAGCTGGCTTTCAGCCTGCACGGTTGTGTACAAATTGCTGTCATGAGCCTGGATTCACTCTCTAAAAGAAATAATGTTGTGTTTTGTATGCTTAACCTTGTTGTCTTCATTCTAAATATTAAGATTTTATATAAAGAAGATATTGGAACTGGAACTACTATTGAAAAGACACCAGAGATGCAGAGAGTTAAACGAACCCAGGATGCAATTAGCTCGGTAGGAAAGAATTGATTTTTAATACTCTACGAGTGCTGATTCAACTTGAAAGAATGTATTTTTCCCCCCCTCTCATTTCTTTAAATGTTGCTAACAGTGTTTTGGCAATAATCCATACAGCTCAGAGTTATTTTCTAAGTTTTTCCTGTTCTTGCTACTTAAACGGTACACTTTCTAACGATTAGCATTCAACTTGTTACTTACAAGCCATTTCTCAAATGTGAAAGCTCTTGCCATCATTTTTAATCTCATCCCAAACTTAGTTTATTTAGCACAGAATCAAAGAATCATTTAGGTTGGAAGGGTCGTCTTGAGATCATCTACTCCAACGATATTACTTGAGCAGGATCAGCTAGAGCAGGTTGTGTAGGACCATGTCCAGGCAAGTTTTGAATATCTCGAAGGATAGAGACTCCACAGTCTCTCCGGGCAACCTATTCCAGTGTCTGACCACCCTGACAGTAAAAAAGTGTTTTCCTGTGTTCAGACTGAATTTTCTGCTTTATTTAATTTGTGGCCGTTACCTCTTGTCTTGTCACTGCGCACTACTGAGAAGAGTAGCTTGCTCTTCATTCCTTCTCACCGGGTATTTATCCACATTGAGAAGTTCCCCCCGAGCCTACTCTTCTCCAGTCTGAAGAGTCCTAGCTCTTGAAGCCTCTTATCAAAGATACTCCTGTCTCTTACTCATCTTTGTGGCCCTGCACTGGACTTGCTTCAGTAAGTCCACATCTTTCTTGTACTGACAAGCCCAGAACTGGATACAGAACCGGTGCTGAGCAGAGGGGAAGGATCACCTCCCTTGGCCTGCTGGCAATGCCCTTCTTAATGCAGCCACGGATGTTGTTGGCCGCCTCTGCCATGAGGCTGCGTTGCTGGTTCCTGGTCAGCACATTGTCCACCAGATCCCCGAGATCCCTCTCTGCACAGCTGCTTCCCAACCAGCCAGCCCCCAGCGTGTACTGGTGCCTGGGGTTATTCCTTCCCAGGTGCCGGACTTTGCCTTTCCTCCTGCTGATCTTCAGGAGACACCTCTCAGCCCATTTCTCCAGCCTGTCGAGGTCCCTCTGGGTGACAGCACAGCCCTTGGGTGCATCACCCAGTCCTCCCAGTTTTATGTCACCTGCAGACTCGCTGAGGGTGCGCTCTGTCCCAGCACCCGGGTCACTAGGGAGGCTGCTAGCAGGGCTAGCCCCAGTGTTGACCCCCAGGGTACACGGCGACTGACTGGTCTCCAGCTGGCCGCTGTGCCACCGGTCAGAACGCTCCGGGCCTGGCTGTTCAGCAGTTTCCAGTCCATGTCACTGGGCACTGATCCAACCCGTGCGCTGTTAGCTGCTCTGTGAGGACGCCAGGGCAAGCAGCGTCAAAAGCCTTGCTTAAGGCATGGCTCGTAAAGCCTGACTGTTAGGGAGAAAATTGTAGCACTCTAAAATTGGAATAATTGCATATATTACTTTTGAAACTTGTAAATCTTTTTCGTGCTTTTTGGAATGCTGACGTCATTTTAGTATAAAAGATACTGATATTTTAGCCAATTTGTTTCATGCATACTGTGTTAAATGTGGTCCTGTGAAATGCTATTCTTTTTTTTTTGTTATGCTGAAGTAGAAATGCAAATTGCAGTCATTGTTAAAATGTATGGTGACTCTCACTTTTGATGAACATGATAGATTTTTAAAATTCAGAAATTCTTCTTTTGTTGGTAGAAAGACCAAATGGTATGAGGTTCAGAGGTATTTACACTTGTTTTGAGAAAACCCATGTAGTGAAGTGCCATTCCCAGTGACACCTCATCAACAGCTAAAGCTGCCTTCTAACAGGTTGCTTGTAAAGATGATGCGAATACTTTAACAGCAGCTCTCTGCTCATGTTAAAGCCAGCGAGATCTTTTTAATTTTCAGTCTCCTTGAGATCAGGATTATGCTCTTTCTGTGGCCGCATAGGAGTCTAGGTGCCTGTTCTACATTAGGCTAAGATTTTTAGAAGTTATTTTCATGTTTTCGTGTCACAATTTTTTAGAACTCAGTGTAAGAAACCTTGAAATGGTTCAGTTGTTATAAATTATGGGGTTTATTCTTGCTCAAATTAAGCTCCTGCGAGATGTTAGATGCCCAGATTTTAAGCTTCAGTTGAAAAGTTCTGGCTTGAACAAGCGTCTGCTTTTTTACCCTAAGCTGAGTTGTTGTTAAACTGCTTTGCAGAAGCGTGGCAGAGTTTTAGCCATCCAACGGCTCTAACCGAAGGCTCCTTGATGATTCCCCGCTATCAGAATGGGTTTAGTACCGGAGTTTTGAATGATTTTGCAAAGTGTAAAGGACCTGTGTCTCTGTATTCATCTAACTTCTTGCACATACCTGTGTCAGCTGTGCTTTAATGCGAGTCCTTTGACTTTTTTTCTGGTGTCTGCATCTTTGTAGATTAAGTACAAGGAGAGCATTGGAAAAGGCACTCCAATTCCCGACCTCCCGGAAGTGAAGCGTGTCAAGGAGACACAGAAGCACATCAGTTCGGTAATGGCCGATGTTTTCTACTTACCTGTATGCTCATGCGGAGCTCAAGCTCCAAACTTGGATAGAGTTTGTGGGTATTTTTTTTTGAAAAGAGAACAGATCTCTTAAATCTCTGTATTCAGCAGCAGGAAGTTCAAATACGTGAATGCTGTAGTCATTACAATCAGCCACTTCCCTGTATTACTCCTGTGATCTTTTCTAAACGCAGACCTAGAAACAAAAGATACCCAGAGGATGTCTTACTTACAATTAGTCTGAAAAAATGGATCAGCTAGAGAAAACTTTGTAGAAAAAAATAATTGGAGCCTTTTTTGTAGTCACAAAACGTAGTGACAATTTTAAGTGGAAACCGTACCTGGCTCTTCCCGTATCTAGTTAAGTAAAGATTTTAATAACCACAGTGCAGTGTCCTGATTTTGAGCTGCTGCTGATTTATGTTGATCCCTGCATTCAGAGTTGAGGCAGGATACGGTCCTGTGGTTACTGGTTCTTCAGATGTTTGGTGTACGATGCTGGGGAGCAGTGACACCCATATAACATGTATCTTAGGATTCTCCATTTCTGATTTTAGAAGTACCATTTCCCTTTTGAGCTGTTTATGATACTAATGTTTTCTACAGCTCACTTTTGCACAACTCAGTTGTTTCTTCAGATGATTCTTCATTTTTTCTTTTATATGATTTGTTTTCCCTTGCTGTGAGTGCTTAATTTTTGTATTGTTTTCATTGTTTCAATGACATCAAGCAATGAGAACTTTTTTTGTTAGCTCTTTTTGTTGCAAGTATTTTACTAGTTGCAAGAAGAACTGTTAGTAATGTGTCTCTACATTTGTAGTTGATTTCTACATGATTAGGTTTTAAAGCAACCGATGCTTCTCCTGTGCAACTCCTTTAATGAAAAATGCAATTTTTAAAATAAAACAATTTTTAACAATGTTTTTTAAATCAAACAATTACAGATTAAGTTAAATCTAATAATATGAGAGCTACAACTCAATTGTTTTTCTTACTAGAGACTTAAACCAAAGTAAAATAGTGGGGTTCTGAACAAATAGCCACAGAGATCAAAATGCAATGGAGCCCACAACTAAGGTCTTTTCCAACCTACGATTCTACGATTCTATTCTCATAGTAAACATGTCTATCAAAGGTTCAGCTGTTTGTTAGCACAATTAAAAAAACCTCCAGAAGTGCTGACGGCCTGAAAAGTAATGCTATTACTTTTCCTAAACCGAGGTGAGAGCAGAACATGCCCACCTTTCGTGCCAGGCCAGCAGAAGATTTAAACTCGCGTCCCTCTGTGATGAAGTATTGACTTCAGTGTGCTCCAGCACCTCCACAGAGACACGGAGTACTTGGCTAAGCTGGTGACTGTACGTAAAAAGATGCACACTGAGTAAAATAAATTGTGCACGTATTTACAGATAATCCCAGATTGTATCTACCTATAAGCCAGGTGAATGATGTACCCGAATGTACTGTAGCTGTGGAAGGAATGTGATCTTCTCACCTTGCTGGGTGCTTGTGTTCCGCAGGTGTTGTACAAAGAGGACCTAGGGACAGGTATCCCAACATCTGTCACTCCAGAAATAGAGCGAGTCAAACGCAATCAAGAACACATTAGCTCGGTATTTAAAAAAAATAAAATTATAACAACTTATTTTTGCATAACACCCTAACATATAATCTGTTTTTCTTCAGTGGTTTAGAATCTCACCCTGCTCCTGTCTTTCCCCTGGCAGTATTTTTAACTCATTCATATTCCACCTTTTTCTGCTTTAACTTTTTTTGGTGATTTACAACTTTACATGCATTTCTTTTAAGAACCAAAACTGGAATTCTGCTGTGGCATTAACGTGGTGTTTCTCTCCATGTTTGCTTTATCTTAAACCCTTCATCTTCTACTGTCTGTAGTTACGTATTTACAGAATAATCAACCCTCAGCCCCTTCCTTAATATTTGCCTCTAGATCAAGTGTGAAATTAATTCAAAAGTGATCCTAACGCTGAACATAACTCACAAAACAGTCAGATTTAATGACTTTTGCCTGTGTTGAGTGCCTTTTTTGTGGAAACTTTCTTGTACCTCACAGGTGTTGTACAAAGAGGGCTTAGGGACTGGCATCCCCACACCGGTGACTCCAGAGATGGAGAGAGTCAAACGCAATCAAGAGAACATTAGCTCGGTATTGCTAAATAAAACAAAAGCTACCATTTCCGCTCCAAATCCAATCCCTTTAACTCCTCCACATTAAATTTTTCTTCCAGTTCTTTGCTGAACTTTGAAGAACCCTTTCTTAATCAAATGACTAAAACCCTGTCCGTATCCTTGTATTTTAAGTTTTCATGCAGTCCAGCTTAACCATCATTAAGTTGTTCCAGCTGTGAGATTTTTAACCTCATTTGCTTAAAGCAGTTAAGCAGGACCTGATTTTTCTCCCCAGTGAAATAGCAGGTGTCGGAGTGGCGTCGCTCCCCTCCTCAGTAACGGCGTCGATCCTTCTAACAGTCCGCAGACTCACCACGCTGGCTGCACCGCAAACGAAAAACGAACTTTTAACGCTTCCTGAAGCAAAGCAGTCTCATGCAAAGAGCGTGTGCTGTCTCCTTCCCTGGTTTTGCTGTGTTGGGTGCTTGCTTATATCCTACAGGTCTTTGTGAGAAAACCTTGGTGGTATCCCCATACCGCTGCAATATGAAAAAATGATGAAAATTGTAAATATGAGGAAAAATTACTGTAGTAAGGGATTTCTGTCCAGATTGTTTCTACTCCTGACACATGCCAGTCAAATGACCATTACGGCATCATTTTGTTCTATACTTCTGTTTTAATTAGAGCAGCTTAGGACTAATTTTGACTGACTCTGACCCGATTCAGACATGACCGATGCAAAATTCAGTCCTGACTTGAGATTAATAGGGCAGCTTGGAGACGCCACTGCTGCTAAACTTTCGGCTGCATTATGTTGTCTCTGAGGTTGTCCCGGCTCTCTCCTGCCCTGGTGGGCCTGCTCAGAAACCTGCAGGGCAAAGCTGCTCGTGCAAGGCCGTCTGTTAGAGGAAGGAACCTCCTTTGCGGGAGAGTTTTCGGGTCGCTGGGCTCCAGCGGTGCGTTGCACCGACCGCTCCCGCCGTTCTTGCTGGCAGCGTGTGAGTGCGCCCGGGTGAGACGCCGACAAACCGCGGAGCACCGTTTGCTGGTTACTCTCCTTCCCCTTTTGTTTGCCAGCCTTCGGACCGGGCTGACAAAACTCTTTTTCATACTTTGAAGTTGCACTATATTAAATTACTTGTCTTCTCTCTCTCTCCTCCCTGCCCTCCTCTTTCCTTTCCCTCCTTTCTTTTTTTTGTTTTGAATACCCCCCTGTTGCCACACAGGTGTTGTACAAAGAGGGGCTGGGGATCGGCACCCCGGTACCTGTCACTCCTGAGATGGAGAGGGTCAAACGCAATCAAGAAAACTTTAGCTCGGTACCTTTTTTGTCATCTGTGGAAAAAAGTTCCCTGTAACTATTTAACACCTGTAAATTTTCTACTCTCTCTAATGAACTTACGGACATAGAAACATCCCTTCCTGCTATCAATTTTTTTTTTTAGTCCTTGTTAGTTATAATTTATGCACTTAGATTTTAAAAGTTTTTTTTGATAATCATAACACTTGATGCTTTATGTCCTTTAATTTTTAAAAGTTTTTTTTTTGTGAAGCTCAAAGGATTTTGCATTTCTAAAAACCACTGGGTTTTTTATTTGCTTAATTCCATTCCTCTAATGCTTTGTTATTCTGTGGAAGCGTATCTAAGGATTGGGATGCAGTATTTCTAGCTATCGATCAGAAGGCGTCCTCTGAATTTTTTAACTGGTTTATACTTCCTAAGTTTTCCCGCTTTCTAGTATATTTAGTGGGCATAAAAATTATGTGTTACAGCCATCAAATGCAGCAAATCTTTTGTTCTTACCTTTTTTTAAACTCCCATGTTACCCCACAGGTGTTGTACAGAGAGGATCTGGGGCGAGCAACCCCCACACCTGTCACTCCTGAGATTGAAAGAGTCAAACGCAATCAAGAAAACTTTAGCTCGGTATTATTTTTAATTTGAAAAGCAGCAATTTCCTTTTTAATCAATTTAAAAATAATTTTAACACCAAAAAATTACTCTCGTATTTCCCCATAATCAATTTACGCAAAAAAAGAATATCCTGTTCCCCATGTTTTGACATTTTTTCCTCCATAATTGTCACTGACTTTGTTTTGACTAGATCATCCTACTAATAACTTTCAGATTCCATGTTTCCATCTTTCGTCTCGGAACATATTTTTTTCTTCTTTAATGTCTGCTTTCCCTTTTGTTAATGGCTTCAGTCCTTGGTTGTTGGTTTTCCTCCTGGTTTTACCGCATATAAACACTAAACTCTTTTGTTGCCTGAGATGAGTCTGTGGAGATGACCTCGGTGTAAGAGTGCTCTGCTCCGTGCCGGTGTCACCTGCTGTGACGTTGATGGAGCGGGTAAAGGCAGCGGAACTGATTTCTTTAGTCCTTCTGTGTTGTCTTTGATGCCTTCTTCCTTTAGGAAGCCTTTAATAGCGTTGCCCAGAGACAGTGGCCCAGCTGGTGTAAACTGCTCCAGATATGCTGGTAGCACAGGTTTGCAGGGTGAAAGCAGGAGTATAGCATGAGGATGTTTCTGGGGGTGAGGAAAGTTACAAATAAGGTGGGACAGCACTAGTAATGACAATTTCTCAAGGGACCATTTTCACACACACCCCTGTATCATGATCAAGTCTCTGTGTCCCTCCCGTAGTGAGCAAGCTGGACTCTTTGATGGTAACCTGTGGCCAGTAAGTAGCGTTTTACTTGCGGAAGGGATGGCTCTTCGCTGAGGGTGTGTGTACGGAAAAACTTTTAGGGAGGCGTATTAGGACCTGGTCTTCCAATGACTCAGGTGCAGCCAGGAAAAGGTTTAACCTCACTGTTGGTGAAAAGACAATGATACACTTAATTATAATTTATATAAGACTTTTATCTTCTAAATGCTCACTGGTTTTAAACGTCCACCTTGAGAAGCACTTAACCAAGTCGGGAAGGTATTCTGGCATTCTGGTAGAAGTCACACTGGGTTTAACTCCGTATCTTCACAGTTCTAAGCTAGTTTTTTATTTTCGTGGACTTTTTAATCCCTGTGTTTGTTCAGGGCATCTCAGAAAAACATCTCCTGTTCTGCGTGTTCTCTCAGCAGAGCGTTGCTGTTGTCTGCTTGTTCCTTTTGCTTGTGTTAATGCAGCCCTGTTACCCCACAGGTGTTGTACAAAGAGGACCTGGGGACAGGAACCCCCACACCTGTCACTCCGGAGATTGAGAGAGTCAAACGCAATCAAGAACACATTAGCTCGGTATTTTTTAATTTGAAAAGCAGAACGTTCCCTTTTAATCTATTTTAAAATCCTTTTAACACACACAGACAAAAAATTCTTGTTCCCCTATAATCAACTTACACAAAAAATAATATCCTGGTCCCTCTGAGATTTTTTTCCTCCGTAATTATTACTCACATCATTCTTATTCCTCCTCTTTTATGACATCCCCTTAATAACTTTTAATTCTGCCTTTCTTTTGAGTCTAAATATCTTTTTAATTTGTTTTTTGCCTCTTAAAAACCACCCTGTTTTTCTTTTCTTAGTTGCAATAATCCTTAGTTTTGTGTGGTGGGTTTTTTTTTCCTGTTTTTACTTGCTTTATATATGCGAACTAAACTCTTCAGCGCCTGACACAGAGCTGTGACCTCAGTGTGACAGTGCTCTAATACACGCCAGCGCAACCTGCTGCGAGGGCGATGGACCGGGTAAACGAAACGGAGCTGATTGCCTTGTGCCTTTTGTGTTGTATTTGGTACCTTCTGCCTTTGGGAAGTCTGCAACGCTCTGCTGTCGCACAGCCACCTTCCTGCGTCGCTCCTGGGAAGCAAGGAGGGAAGGTGTCCCCCCGTCCTGCCCAAAGGCGTTGCAGAGTGTTCAGCTGCGTAGTTTGGAGGAGCACTTTAATTTTTCTCTTTTAGTCCAAGCTTTGGCTCGTGGCGACTTTGAAAAACACTCAGTCTGTTTTCTCAGCAAGCTGCGTGTTACTGTTGTCTGCTGCTTCTTTTTTTTCTTTTATTTAATGCAGCCCTGTTACCCCACAGGTGTTGTACAAAGAGGACCTGGGGACAGGAACCCCCACACCTGTCACTCCCGAGGTTGAGAGAGTCAAACGCAATCAAGAACACATTAGCTCGGTATTTTGTGGAGGAAAAGAAGTGTTCCCTTTAACTCCACTTAAACAGAACTTTTTAACCTTTGTTAAAAATGAACAATTCCACTCCTTACTCCCATATAATCCACTCATAAAAACATCCTTTCTTCTTCCCTGTACTATATTTTCCGATGTTACTGACCTACCACTTCTTCATATTTGTATTTATTTACCTTATTCTAAAGATTTTTAACCATTTTGCTCCCTGTTCCAACCTCCTTTTTCTTTTATATGTGGGGTTTGCTTTTTAATCCTATCGGTTTCCTGTTTTAACGGCGTTACCGTAGAAGAGGGAGGGTCTGACTTTTTCTAGCAGGCTTCCGTGGCAGTCTGAGCACGCCGCTGCGAATGTGGCAGCCGTAGGAGGCTCCTGCGCTGGCCGTGTCGCACCTGCTGAGCTCACGCACCCATCCGTGGACCTCTTTGCCGTCAGAGCCGCCGGGGTGCAGCCCAGCCTTCGGCTTCGGGCACGTTAGAGCAGGCTGAGCTCCAGCAGACTCGGTGTTTGACTTCATGTGGGATGTGATTGTTACTGAGACGTGACGATGTTTCTGGATGCTTCTTGTTACCACGCAGGTGTTGTACAAAGAGAGCGTGGGGACTGGAACCCCCACTCCTGTCACTCCGGAGATGGAGAGGGTCAAACGCAATCAAGAAATCTGTAGCTCGGTACTTTGCTAAGAGGAAAAAGTTCACTTTAACTCTGTTTAAAAGAACATTTTAACAGTTTTAATGAGTGGGCATTGTAACACTTGTTCCGAAATAACGCCGACCCGAGCTCTAAAGCAGCTGACAGAAGTGACTCCTTACTCACGCCTTACTGTGGTTTACAGTGGTGACTTTAACTTGTTGCAGTTTTTTGTTGTTTTTTAAGAGTGACTTTAATGCCCTATTCTAATCCTAAAAACACTTAACAAGCTCCACTCATTTTCTCTGCAATGCTGACATTCCTTTTTTAAAAAAAATATATTTACATCTTCATAACATCCTCAGCCTCTCCATATGGTATTTTTGTGGTCTCATTGACGTAGTACTCACACCATTTATTACAAGTGATCCTGTAGCTGAAAAGCCAGTGTGCCAAACCCTGCGTCTCTAGTAGAATATTGCTAAGTACCTTCTTTAGAAATATGTCTCATACCTAGGCCCTGAGAAAATAAATACAAGAAAAAAAATGCCTCGGGCGCGGGGTTTGTCTGCGGGTAGCTGTTTGTTTATTGTCGCTTTCTTTGGCTCCTTTTTTATGTCTCATAGGTGTTGTATAAAGAAAACATAGGGAAAGCAACCCCGACACCTGTCACTCCCGAGATGGAAAGAGTCAAACGCAATCAAGAAATCATTAGCTCGGTATTTTTAACAGGAATGCGGTTCCTAACGATCGGAATGAAGTGTTTAACGTAACCGTCGCAGTTCAGTGGTCTGTGCTTTCTAACTTGAAACGGATCTGCCACGTTTAAAAACCTCCTACTGTGCTTAGGAACGAGCCGCGGTATCTCCTGTTTGACACGGGCTGAAGCAGGGTTTCACCAGAACTCGGTCTGACCTTTTCTGGGAGGGGAGCGTTTCTCTGCCGCTGCGTTAACCCCTTCTTACCGCAAGTGTGCTTGCACGCAGAGGTGGGGCCGTGCAGGGCCCGGCTCTGCATCCTGGCAGGGTAACGGCAAAGCTCCGATGCGGCTTTTAGAAGAGCGCTGTGCCCCAAGTCTAACTCTTTCTAAACATAATGATTCAAAAGCTGTAGTGTATGTAGTTTGGGTCTGGGCGTGGGGGTGGTGGTGGTGGTGCCTTTGTAATGACATTTAGATACTCCCTTGTGTCCTGTAGGTTTTGTACAAAGAAAATGTGGGGAAAGTGACCCCAACACCAATCACTCCAGAGATGGAGAGAGTCAAACGCAATCAAGAAATCATTAGCTCGGTACTTTGAAATAGATACATTTCTTTTTTTCTTTTGTGCTTAGATCTTTAAAAAGTAACATTCTAACTACCTACTGGAAGTTGATTCTAATTTAAAAAATAGATATACTTGTTTCTGCAAATTAATCACTCCTCTTCTAAAATAAAATGACTCTAATGTTAACAGTCTGATCCAGAAACGTAGGCCTGTTCCACCACGCGGTTTGTGTACCTGTGGGCTCTATCCAGACAATATGAAGTCCTTAGCACCCGTTGGTGAAGATATTCAGGCTTCTCTCTCTCTCTATGCTCAGCCAAGCTTTCCCTGGCTTCTGAGGGCTAGCTGACTTCAGCAGAAAACAAACCAGAAATGCCACCGCTCCCCTCCCCCAACCCGCCCTCTCTGCCCCACGTGCGATCGTGTTGCTGTGGCAGGTGGGGCAGGAGGCCCTGACCCGAATGACACCGCAGGAACGAGACCGTTCTGGGTGGCGTACCAGCCACAGCTTGGACGGGGACAGGGCCGGTGTGGAGGTGTAATGGTGCAGCGATGCCAGACACCCGCCCTCGACACCCTGCTTTATTTGGCTGCCCAGTGGCTGCGTGGTAACAAAACTCCCTCCTCCCTGCCCAAAAGGTCACGAATTCCTTCAAACAGAGACAAAACCGCAGGTAAAACAGTTCCCGAGGGCCTGGGGCAGCTTCCTCCCGCGGCAGAGCCATTGCTGCAGGCGTAGCTGGATAGAGCCCTTCTTTCTTAACCAGAAAAATAACAAGCTGCTCTTTCACGGTTTATTTTCCTCACCCTTCTTTACAGCAGTAGCTGTTTGGCTTTTGTGCAGTGCTGCGTATCTTAATCAGTCGTGACTTTTCTGAAATTTGATAACCAAGTAATCATTTGTGGTCAAATCCTTTTGATTTTGGGGGGGGTTTAAGATACCGGATACATCTTCTGCATCCCACAGGTGTTGTACAAAGAGAACTTGGGGCGAGCAACCCCCACACCTGTCACTCCAGAGATGGAGAGAGTCAAACGCAATCAAGAACACATTAGCTCGGTATTGTCTGGAAGAACTAAAGGGGATATGATAGAGCACTTTTTTTTTAATAACCCAAGTCTGCCTGGTTTTATTTAACCCTCTAATTTTTTTTCCCCTCAAACTTAGAATGTAATCTCTTAATTTTATAGCACGTAAGAGACTTTTTATCAATTAACTTTTTAATACTATTTTTCCTCTGACCTTTTTTTTTCTTTCATAATGGGTGGTGTGTACTCTAAACCCAGTAACATTACGGTTCCCAGTCTGTCCATCTGTGACACTGCGTTACTTTGTGCTCTGTAGGCCGCCTACAGAGAAGGCTTAGGGAAGGCAACCCCCACACCAGTCACCCCGGAGATGGAGAGGGTCAGACGCAACCAAGAACACATTAGCTCGGTACTGAAAGAACAACCACCACCTTGTATTAAAAATAACCATTCTGAACAAACCCTCCACTTCTAATTTAGCCTTATTTTCTCAGTTTTCCCTTATTTTTGCTTATTTTTCCCTTTGGTTTTTACCTTTTGCTCTAGCAAATAACTTCTTAGATGCTTTGTTTCCCGAGATCTTTTCTACCCCTGCAGTGATGACTGTGCTTGAACAGTAACACCGTTTACAGGAGGAGCTAGGAATTATTCCGGTCTGATTTGTGGCCGCCTTGTTGTACACTGTAGGTTTTGTACAAGGAACATCTGGCAAAAGGAACTCCAACACCAATGACTCCGGAGATGGAGAGAGCCAAACGCAATCAGGAAAACATCAGCTCGGTAGGTTCTGTTCCGCCAAGAAATGAAAATATGTTAAAAAGTAACATTGCAATCCCTGAAATCCTTACTCAGATGAACGGTGCAGGTGTTGACATAACTGCCTCGTCTGGAAGTGTGATGCAGCCATGTTGAAATCAAATCCTCCAATGCTTGCTCTTTGCTTTCTGCTGCAATGGAGTCTTTCTTTCTGTGTCATTAACTGCTTTAGTTCAGGGTTGTTTTTTTTTTTTATACAACAGTTGAATTTTCAATACCATATGTGGCCTTCAATTGTCTTGCAAATATCTTCTGTTTTTACTGGTCATATACCGTAGGAGATAGGAAATGATCATCCTTCAGTAAGAGTGTATTTTATGTTAGATTTTTGGACATTCTGTACGGAAACACGACAAATCAGGAAATGGCCTTCTTCAGGCCCTTCTTTGCTAACCTGCTACTCCCCAGGGTAAACCCCGACGTATCCCACCCTGTAAGTGTTTACATACAAACCAGATCACAGGCGGCTTTGGGCTGGAAGGGACCCTTCAAGGCCACCCAGCCCAGACCCCCCGCAGTGCGCAGGGACATCTTCAGCTGGATCAGGTTGCTCAGAGCCCTGTCCAGCCTGGCCTGGCCTGTTGAATAAATCCAGTCATAAAATATCTGCAAAAAAATGTTTACAGAAACATGACACAACAGTTACTCAAAAAAGAAACCCTACAAACCCAGCAAAAAGTGTAGTATTTCAATGAAAGACACAGGCCTAATGCATTAGGTCTGTTTGACACTGGTAACATCACTGATGCTGGTGAGGCACAGGTCAAATACATGCAAATATCACCTAGAATATAACAACTGCATTACCTCTACCTGTTGTTACCAGGTTAAAAAAGGTAAGGGGGGGTCTTTTAGTTAAGAAAAGCAAAGTTTGGGGTCAAGTCCAGAGCACTGTCTCTAATTATGAAGAAGAATTTTGCTTTGCATTCCAGTGTTAATCACCGCCACAGCTGCTGCTCCCCCCCTTTTTGCCAGGTTGCTTCAGCACAGCCCCTTCCTCGCGGCGCAGCAGCAGTGGTGTGCCCTGTGCTCACGTCCCGTTTCTCATCCGGCAGGTTCTTTATTCAGACAGTTTCCGAAAACAAGTACAGGGCAAAGCTGCGTACGTACTGGATACACCGGAGCTGCGGCGCGTTCGAGAGACCCAGAAACACATCTCTACAGTAAGAGCTTTTCTAGATGTATTTTTAACTTGGCAAGTGATTTAGCTGGAAACCATTTTGCTGAGACGTTCCAGGACTGGCAGCGCAAGGACAATGTACACGTACCAAGCTTAGTTACCCAAATTCTGAAACGCTAAAGGTAAGAGTGCCTGCCAGAAAGGCACGTCTGGGCTTAGGCTCTCTCTCGTTCCCTGGCTCAGAGAAAGCAAAAGTTCAGACAGCAGTGCACCTCTCTGCTAGAAACTCACCTGAGGTAAGCAGGAATAAAAATTATTCAACTTAGCTACGGGGAACAGACATTCCTTTTATGTTGCAGGTGAAATACCATGAAGATTTTGAGAAGAACAAAGGCAGTTTCACCCCCGTGGTTACCGACCCCATTACAGAACGCGTGAAAAAGAACATGCAGGACTTCAGTGACATCAGCTACAGGGGCATTCAGCGGCGAGTAGTAGAAATGGAGCGAAAGCGCGTGGACCAGGATCAGGAGACTCTCACCGGTAAGCAGCACCCAGGTTTTGTAACGGCCCGAGCATGTCACTTACACAAAGCACAAGCTGACCCTGATGAATCGTTTTATTCCAGCTCAGCCGTAGCAATTCAAATTTATCGTGACTTGGAGATGATGTTTATAGTCAAAGTCCATTTTGAAAACGTTCCCTTAGCAGCCGTGAACCGGCTGTGGTCTGCCTCTCCCAGCCTGCCCAACTTTGAAATCTAATGCTGAATTTTCATCTCTTGCTCGTATTTTTAACTTCACCTCTGTGCATATTAGAGAAATACTGTAGCTCACTTGGTGTGGAGAAATTTATTTTTAAAAAAAGCTTAATCTGTGCTGTAGATTTGAGAAATACTTTATGAAATACTGCTTGCCCTTTTCTGATGCGTTTTCACTCCGAGTGAGGACAGACGTGTGCTGCTCACGCTCTCTAGAAGCCGCTCAAGCTCCAGCTTCTCCTCAGAAAACGCGCTCTCTTGCAGGTCTTCGTGTGTGGCGCACTAATCCCGGGTCCGTCTTTGACTACGACCCAGCAGAAGACAATATTCAGTCCAGAAGCTTACACATGATCTCAGGTTTGTCCCACCGGCTGCACTATGTGTGCAAAGTAGATCCTGGACTTGTGCAGATCCAAGCAGTAAAACTGGCGGCTTGGGGGTACTGAAGTACCTACGCTTAGCACTCTACCTCTGCAAGAATGCAAGCATAGCCTTGTGCGCTGCCTTCCGCCACCGTGTTCAAAAGAACAGGGATGTAACAGAGCAGTATGTCCCTGCTCACGGCAGGGGGGCTGGGCGCGATGACCTCTGAAGGTCCCTTCCCACCCAAACTGTTCTATGATTCCATGAACTGTGCCTTCCCGAGCAGAACATCAGCATGGTGGCCAGAGACTGCTTTAAAAACCCGTGGCAAATACATTAAGTAACCATAAAACCAGACTCTGATTAACTCACGCTTTTTCCCATTGATTTTGTAAAGTACAGTAACCACTGCAATAGCTGTCAATTTTCTGCTCAACATACGCACAAATTCCATGGCTTTGGTAACAATGGTAGAGCGTCGGGTGTTTTTTACACATGTATGTATGTATGTGTATATATAAACAAAGTAACCTATATATGTGTGTACGTATATACATATATGTGTATATACATGTATTTTTACACTTGCATCTCCTTACAAAACAAAGGCATAAATTGGTTCGTGCTGCTTCCTCCCTGCAGTCCAAGCCCAGCGCCGCAGCCGGGAGCACTCCCGCTCTGCCAGTGCCTTGAGCCTCAGTGGTGGTGAGGAAAAATCCGAACCCTCAGAGGGTGTGGATCAGCATTTGTCCTACTACAGCAACGGGGGCTTCTTTACCACAACTGCAACAGGTAACAGGAGCACAAACACACCATTTATCCACGTGTGATGACCAATGGCATCCAGCCCCCCCGGCAGGGCAGTACTGGCCATGGGCTCACCTGCAGTAATTCCTTGTGCCAGGAAAAAGCACAGAGTCCACCTGCGAAATGCTGAGCTACGGGCATACCCAACAGCTGTAAACTGTATTTCATGCACCCCACCTAGTGACCTATGCCGTGATCTTCATTCTGAGTAACTCTAACCCTATTGCCAATTCTGTAATAAACAATACAAAATATATTTTCCTTTTGCAGTGGGCTACAAACATGCTAAAACCGTGGAGTTGCCACAGCAACGGTCATCGTCAGTCGCCACCCAGCAGACAACGGTGTCGTCGGTTCCTTCCCACCCATCCACTGCTGGCGTAAGTAACACTGCTCAGCTGCACGAAGACGCGCAGCCCCAGGCGTGCTGCGGGCGTCAGTCTGCCTGCCAAAGGCCCTGGAGGTCCCTGGGGCTGACGGTGCATGCTCATCATGCTCCCGCTGGTGTTGGTCCAGGACTGAGCCCTGGGCTGATGCTCCGTACAAAGCCAGGTGAAGCTGTAACTGATTTGACTCTAGGGGGACAGACCCTCACTTGTCCTCGTACACTTTCCATTAACTCTTCTGCCTGCTCCTGGGACCGAGCAGATAGATGACAGCGGGTATGGCACCCCCTGCCCCCAGCAGCTGCAGGGAGGGAACAAACACCTCAGTTACGGCTGGAGCTACCGGGTGCCGATGCTGCTCACACACACTCGGAAAACACCGTGTTCAGTGTCAGTGCCACTGAAACACCTGGCTCTACGCCGAGGGACTGGGGTGCTTGGGTAGCTGAGGCCCTTAGTTACTTGGGGGAAACATCCTATGACCCAAAACCAGCTGAGTCTGAAGACCAGCCAAAACAGAACCTGCCCCGAGCCTGCTCTTACATTTCGATTCTCGCCAGTGCTGACAGCAGGGGTATAAACCTGTCGCTTGTTTTTTTGCCCACCTCCCCCCACCCCCTTTCTTCAAACTACCAGAAGACGTACCGGGCCATGTATGACTACATGGCAGCCGACGCTGACGAGGTTTCCTTCAAAGATGGCGACACGATCGTAAACGTACAAGCGATCGATGAAGGCTGGATGTATGGGACTGTCCAGAGAACCGGCAAGACGGGCATGCTGCCGGCCAACTACGTGGAGGCTGTCTAACCCAGAGCACGTCCTTCCATAAAGCGTATCCGCACGGCACCGACACGCCGGCACCCCTCACGTCAGCCTCAGAACAGGGGCTGGAACAGCGTTTCCAAAGTGCCGTACTGTCTTCCGTGCTGATAGTGCTTTATGAACCAACAGGGGGGTGGGGGGGGGAGAAAGTAACTGCAGAGCAAAATACTCTCGAAACATCCTTTCAAAACATGTTTGAAAGCTACCTGTGAACACGCCAGTAGGCATTGCTCACGGGAACTCTATTTCTTCCAATGAGAAAAAAAAAAGCTTTTTAAACATTGTCTGGACCTCCAAGCATTTCACCAGCGCCTGCCAGCGCAGTGTGTCACCACGCTAGAGCTGCAGTCCCGTGCGGCGTCTCTGAAAATGCTATACGTGCACTTAAGACTAAGACCACCAACTATTGCGTTATTCATTCTCCCATTAAGAGAGTATTTTTCTGGGCTAGTCTAACATGTTTGAATATATTCACTTCTCCATTTAAGCCACGTTTAAGCTTAATATCTCCAGTCAATGTTTAGCTGAGGGGGGAACCCAAAACCAAAAGCCTCTCCTTCTGCTTGCTGAGCTCTTACGCATCTTTCTCATGCAACTGTTCTGGGGTCAAAAGCTGTTATTACTAAATAAAGCTGATGTTTCTGCAGTACGTTTGATGTATTTACTCATGCTGCAGCAGCCGCACCAGAGGGCAGACAACAGGGCTGTGAATGAACAGGGGAAATTACTTCACAGCTGAACACAGTGGTTATCTGCTTCGTCTGCTGAAGCTCCTGGTACCAGCCAGGCTCCAAGCAAGGAGGAAATCAGAAATCACTGTACCCTGCGTCCACAACAGACTAAAGGTTACAGCCATGTTACCAGGAGGAGGAGCTGCAATGCTGATGCCGAGGGCTCGGTTCAGCCCGTCACGGTGCACACGACCAGCCGGAAAGGGCCCCGTCCCTCCTCCAAGCAGGACTCAGGACTGTCAGCACTGCAGGGTAGTTGTTGGTTAAACCAAGCTGTTAACGCCCTTTCAAGATGGGTTAGGAACATCCTTATCTGCACACTGAATACAAGAGGTGAATAAACCTCAGGAGGCAGATTCGGCACTAAATAACATTTTCAAGGAAGCAAGCAAACCTACAGGCAGCTCATCCCTGGCGCTGTTCACGCGACAGCTCCAAGCCATCTCCTTCTCAGATCTGTTTCCTTCGCCCTGCTCACGCATGTCAAGAAAAATATTTAAAGTCTCACTGACCAGATACCACCATGTCCCCAAGGACCTGCTCCCACCTTAAGGCAGCAGCAACCACTGTCAAGTGCCCTCTCAACCTTGTGAATCCAAGGCAATGCCGAGGGAGGGCTGAATAGATCTGAAGGGGTGGAAAAAACCTACCCCAAACCACCACCACCTTCACAAGTTGGTGAACTATTTGCTGTTTTATTTGCCCATGTGTAAGTTCTAAAAACAACTGCAGCAATTCCTTGTGATAAATGTCCATTTTGATAGCCACAGTACAATATATACAAATCAGATTGCCAGAGTAAAACCCAAGAACTCTCTCTGAAGGTCTCTGAGAAGCAGCAATGCATTCCATGCAATTAAAACTCAAAATCATAAATTATTAAGCAACATTTGCCATCATAAATCTGTACATAATATACAAATAGCTTTTGTCAAATCCATTCATTTCCCCAAGGAAAAAGTCCTCTCCACAGGAGGAGAACTGCTGCAAACCAAGAACATGGGAAAGAGCCTGAGAAGGTTGCAAAGTCTCTCACCTGTGCGGGTGCACTGCCTTACCAGCGTCTTAGTGTGATTCTTACAAAAACACATGCAAAAATAGACGTTGTCCAGTGGTCAAACGCCAGGTCCCTGGACTGCTGCTGCTGCAAGGACTGAAGCGCAGCTCACGGCAATGCCACGCGGCGCTGACGGGAGAGCCGCGGTCTGTCAGCGCCAGCAACGCCCAGGAAACAAACAGGGCAGCAGCGGGGCAGAGCTGCGCGCTCGATCGCTTACCAGGTAACGGGAGCCTGCAGCAGTCAGTAAGAACACTTCGGATCTGGAAAAAAATAATTTAACTACTCTGGTGGTTTGGTTTCACAGTCTTTGCTATTGCACAACTTTATCGAGTTTTCTTTCACTACCTGAAAGAAATATGCATAGCAATACGATACAAATACCTCTAGTAGGGAATAGGCGATCCCACAAATTAAAACAAACAAAAAACCCAAGGGAAAACAAAACCAACCATGACACATTTTGCTCAGACAGGTGTTAAAAAAAAAATCTGCTATAGTACAAAATGCACAGTTTAAGGAAAAATTCACCAGTAAGAAAGGCAGGTTAGGGGGAGTATCGTCGTAACAAAATCCTCCTTACTTAGGAATGAGAAGCAACTAATCAGAACTTTCACGGGGTGGCGATTTCCAGCGGGACTGCAGGTTTTTCATGATACAGTTTGTCATACCAACAAGTTTTTCTTGCATCTCAAAAAGCTGGCTTCCTGAATAGCCGTGGAGCTCCTCGGAGGTCAGCTGAGCAGCAAGCGCGTCGATCCGGCTCAGAAGATCTGCCGTGGGCGGGTCACTCGTGCTCAGCACAACCGGTTCAATCAGATCTGAAAAGGAAGGGAAGCAGGGCAGTGCGGGCTCTGCGACTGCGTTTAAGCAGAATTCTGTTGCAGCAGAACGTGACAGCTTCTGGTGTACAAAATAACGTCTTCCAGCAGTTCACAAAGTACTTGTTCCAGACAACCTGAGAGCTTGTGCCACAGGCACCTTCAGAACTCCACGCTGCCCTGCTTTATGGTGACTTAGATTACATTTGATCACGATTGTACAATGAAACCAAGGGCAGAAATGAAAGCATCTGGTCCTAGTCGGATGCTGCCAGCGTCCTTCAAGACGTGCTACCCCAAAGCCCAACGTTTAAACTGGACAGCTGAAGAGATGTTACTCCCGAGTTCTTTGCTCTCCATTAACCACAGGCTTCAAGGATCTTGTAGGAAGAATAAACGTAGATTCCCTAGGCCAAACTCCAAAAATGCACAGGAGCATGCAAATATACAAATCTAGGCACCATATCCAACCTGGGTATCCAGGGAATCACCCCCTTCCCCTCCCACCCCGCTCAGGACAAGGCACCACGGCACTATCTCCCCTTCCTCCTGCTTCTCTCTGGGCGCACCCAGAACCGCAGCGGTCACCGCGGCACGGCACAGCTCTGCAGACATACCCTGCTGAGGTTCAGAAAATCGAGTACTCGCACCCCCGCCTAACTTGTTCTTCACATCCTTACGCAAGCTAGTTGAGGGAAAACCAGCACCTTCCCTCAAAATATGTAGCAAGTTTTAAAAAGCCACTGCTACAGGGCTTCATAAAGTGGCCAAGCTGAACACCCATCTAACATGCTAACAGTAGCTATTAACACTCTCTCATAAAAGAAATTAAAAAAATCAGGTGTTCCCATTAGGAGACTGAAAGCAGCAATACAGCAGAAACATCCAAACCGAAGCAAAAAGCAGGTGATAGGTACCTGTCGCAAGTTTTTCTTCATCCACAGAAAGAGATTTATCTTCTACATTATTTACGGGCTTTTCTGCATCTTCAAGCACTGTCATTTCCTCAAATCCGCGAGATTTCACCTGAAAATTTTTTGGGAGAGGATCAAGAGATGCATTTTTGGGGGATGGGGGGGGGGGGGGGGGGGGAAGACAGGGGGGGGGGGGGGCGGGGAGAATACACGGTGGGACTTGTTCCTCTAACAGGTGGAGATTACGTGTTAAAGTGCTATTTCTAACAGGGAAAAACCCACATTATTCCTCACGAGGGATGTCAGCAGTTCATTAAGCTAGTATTGGCTTTTTGGATTAAAAATTAAACTTCACCTGTTGCTCATGATATCCTTTAAGAGCTTTTTTAACGTTGGAAACTTTCGGAGAGCGGATGGGAAGAGTTTTGATTTCTGATGCTGTCAGAGTACTCAGATCACCCACGGTCTTAATGTTCTTCGCTCGAATGAGCTGCCCCAAACCTCTGGCGCTGCAGCAGGGGAGGAAGCAAAATGGTTTATTTTGCTAGAATTCACCTCCTCTCTGCCCAGCACGGTGCAGCGGAAAGAAATCTTACATCAACGCTGATTCACGGGCACTCAAATGAAGGAAAAAACAAAACGCAAGTGACGTTCCATCTGCAGCAGCACGCGTTTCTGCAGTTCATCCACCAGACAACGGCACTCCAGAGCCCACGCGTACGTACCAGACGCAGAGGAGCCGAGCGCGCTGGAGAAGGCCGCTCGGAGCAGCTCCCACTGCGCGTCTGTAGTTTGTTGTGACAAGTTACCAAAATTCAGATCGGAAACAAAATCGCTGAGCCTTTGAAATAGGAATTTTTTTTTTCAAAATCCCACTTCCCCTTTAGTACACAGAGAGCTCCAACTGCTTCGTCACAGATCAGTAAGATCAGTCTGCTCTGCCACATGCGATGGAGAAGGCTCCCTCTGTTCCTGGGTGCCAGCTCTTCATAGTCTTACAAAAAAGGCAACTTGAAATTATTCAAGTTAAGTCTCATTAAACCAACCTCCCCCCTTTAAAAAAAAATTTGGCAAAGGATGTCTTGAAGTCCTCACATTTTGCATCAGAAAATTTGGTTGTGTAGGCTCAGTAAGAATCCCGTTTCTATCACGTCATCTTCCACAGCAGCACTCCACTTACCAGATGTTTGACGTAATCTGAGGCAGAATGACATCAACCGGTGCTTTGCAGCCAGCGAGGGCAGGGTACACGCACTCCGTGGGGCACGGCAGCGACTCCTTGGCCATTTCCGTAATCTTGAATAATACAGAAAAGTTATTAAATTAACTATCACACAAGTGAATACAGGAAAAAAAATAGAAGAGATACATGAACCAAAGCACTTCTTACTAAACACTTCTTTGAGCTCTTAAATTTAGCGTTACGAGATCCTGGGGACAGAAATCCTTTGGTTGGAGTGGTAATATGCTGGGTAGAAAAAGAGGAAAAAATATCTCTCAGGATTGCAGGAATTCAGTTATGTGTAAGATTCTCGCTAGCTAGCCCTCAGAGTAACAGAACGAGTCTGGCTAACGCACTTACAACTATCTGTTACACTTACTGACCTCTGCTCTTACAATTGTTGGCAAGTGGCTATGAACATACACTAAAGCGATGTCAGCTATGATAAAGAAGCAACACAACTACTTACGGCACACGTAACATACATAGCAGGATTTACCTTAGTCTGAATATTAGATAAAGTCTTAAGACTCCGGGAAGAGGGTGAAGAAGAATGGGATCTAACGACAGGGCTTCTCCTATCTATGTCATCCGCCAGTCCTTCTTGATAGATGGGATTTGCAAAAGAGACCCGACGAATCTGTTAGAGAGAAGGAGTTTTTACAGCATGAACTCAAACCACCACAGGCTGGTGAAGTAAGTCTGAGGAGACAAAACAGCTCGGGTTGAAATAAAGTCTTGAAGTCAAGTCATTAAAGCTCTGGAATGACACAGACCGTGTTTCACCCAAGGACAGAAACTGTGCCTTCATATTGTTGAAGGAAACATTCAATGCATTTCGTACAAAGCTGCTCAAAGCGCGGTGGGAAGGCTCCAGCTGCGTCTAGAGTGGTTTTGCAGTCGCATCTGCTGCACCGCAACCCCGGCAGCAGATTAGGCTTTGGCGCTCTGTTTCAAAAAATGAAACTCCCCACCCCAAAAACCCCCATAACACAAGCCTGTCAGCGCTTGCACATTCCAGGAAGAAACCTGTCAGGCTTCAGCATAAGAGCACTTACAATAAAAACAGTAATTCAACATATTTGGAACTCGTTACGCTACAGACACATTACACATCCCAGTTACGAACTGCATGCATTGGAGTGTCACAGAATGAATGCCATCACGATACCTTATTAGCGGGTGACAGGGAATCATCATCCTGGTTTCTTTTTGCGCCTCTCTTTAAAATACTAGTGGACGGAGAAGCTGAAGGAGACCACGTGCAGCGTGCCTGCATACCATTAGGGCTCTCGTTAACTAATGCTAAAGAATCATGACCTTCCAGCTTCTGAGGTGAATGCACGTTGTTATTTTCTACTGCTTCTTCTTTCTCCAAGGCCACGTTTTCAGGCACTGTAATTTCAGCTTCCACCAATTCCTCCTTCACCTCTTTATCTTGACTAATGGAAGTTTCTCCTCCAGTATTCTCAGCTGCTTCTTCGTCATCCCGACTGCTTTCTAGCTCATTCACCTGGTTTTGCTCAGGCTTGCTAACAACAGTCAGTGCCTCGGGTATCTCTTCCTGTTGTCCATTCTGACTTACTTCTTCCTTTTTTATAGCTGCTGGTTCTTCGCTGTGGTTCTCTGCAGCCAGACAGCTGTCAGCAGGCTCACCCGAAACACACTCGGACACACAGGCCTCGGTCCGGTCGCTCTGATCAGCGGGTTCTTTCATTTCCGCCATGGAGTCATTAACGTCACCTGCTACACACTCGGGACTCTCTAGATCCTCCTCCACTGCACCACCGCTTCCCTGAGCATAGTTATCCTCAGACGTTCTCTCTCTTTCCAAGTTCAACGCGCTGGGTTCCTTGGGAGGATGCAACGGCGTGCTCATGGCACAAGGTGCCATGGACAAGCTCTCGTCAAAATTTGAATTACCAGACATCTCCGCTGTATTCAGAGACGCCTGAACTGGGGTGGTCTGGGGCTCGTTCAGTTCATGAGTGATCTCATTTTTCCATTTAGCGAGTGACATTGTTACTTGCTGCTTTGACTTTTTACAACAGCAATCGCAGTTCTTCGGTCTTCTCATCCTTTTGCTTCTTTTGTGCTGACACTCTGGTGTTTGCAAAGAGGAAGAATCACCACTGGCAGCGTTTGCTCCTGGTACCCGTTCAGGCAGAACCGCTGAATGGTCTTCTACATTTGCTTGCTTCTCAACGGGCGTATTTTCCTCTGCTGCTTTCAAACCTTGATCAGACGTACATGGCTTGGTGAAGGATTCCATCCATGTACTGCTCTTGTTTTGCTCCCCACTGGTGTTCTGTGCGTCAGGTGACCTCCTGGGCCTGGCAGATCCCACAGCTTCGCCAGCATCCGTGGGAATTCCCTGGTTTTTCAGGTCATGTGGTTCAGATGTCAACGCAGTATCCGTGCTGGCTTCACAGTCTAGTTCACCTTTGTTTGTTTCCAACACGTGCTTAGTTTCGTTTCCTTGGGACGCCGCCTCATGGCTACGGCTTCCCGGCTGTGGATCTTTCAGTTTGCCATCAGCAGAATCACTTCTGCTTCTCACTTTTGCAGACCTTTTCTTCCGTGTGCTTTCCTCCTTGGTCTCGGAGCCATCAGCCTCTGAATTTTCGATGCTGGAGAGCAATCCCTGCGAAGCTCTTCTCGTGTGGTATCGGGGTCGTTCCATCTTCTTCTGACCTGCTGTACTCGAGCTGCAGCCTTGTCCTTCCGTGGCAGTCTTCAGGTTATCTTCAGACCTCCTAGCGCTTCTGTTTGCTTCCTCGTCAAGGCCCCCCAAGGCAGGAGACTCCTTTGAGCTCAAGTCCTCTGCAGCAGCTCTCTCCGGAAGGCTGCTTTCCTTTTTATGTGCATTTTCTGTGGTTTTCTCAGAAACTGCTCTTGGCTTTTGGGATACATCGTCTTTAGCCAGCGGCACCTTCTTTGGCCCACATTTCTCGTCTTCTTTACGTCTGTCTCTCTTTTCATGGCCATCTTCCTTATCTTGACTACCTGCTGTACCTTCTACAGCTTCTGACCGTCGCCTCGAAGAACGTCTTAGTATCTTCTGGTTAGAAGACACGTGTGGAACCTGACTGTCATCGCCTGCTACCTGCTCGGATGACACGGCCGTCTCTGGGGGCGTGTTTTCTTTAGAATCCGTATCTAATGCCTGGACCCTGTCTATGTCTGCTATCGTATCTCCAACTTTCTTCATTTCGACTTCTGTAGAACAGAGAACTTGGGACTGAGCAAGAAGAACATGTTCCACACCTTCTACTGTAGAAGACAGTTCGGGACTACTTTCCATACTGCTGGAAGCAGAAGAGTCCAGCGCGCTTTTCTCTTGCTCTGACTTAATTAACAGCTTGGACTGCTTATTGCCTTGGTGCTCCATTTTACTCTGCCTGCGAGTTAGCTTTCGTATTGCAGTAAGTATCTGCTCAGACTCCGGTTTTGGAGCCTTCTTATTTTCTTCTCCAGGTTTTTCTGGTTTGGCACTAGTCTTGTCCACATTTGTATCTTCCTGGTTCCCTGCCACAGAAGCACTCCCCGACGTCTCCGAGAAACCGCCTAATGTCGAAAGGCTGAAGGGTCTGTTCTCCGAGCTACCGAATTTCTCCAAAGTAATGAAGGACTGCCGCCGGCTTGCAGGCTGCGGTGTCCCGGAAATCACGTCGCTTGACGTTGAACTGTTGCTGACATTCGAAGTGTTTTCATTCCCGACGGAGTGCTCACTGGAAGCCGTTTCCACAGTACTGTTTTCCAGTCTCTCTCCCGCTGATGGCTCCTCCCGGACCAGTTCAGCTCCATCCCTTTTTGGCTCTCCCCCACCGTCTGCCGCTGAGCTCTCCTCGACGTGAGTAACAGAGGACTTTTCCACGCAGGCAGCATTCTCAGGAGGATAATCTGATTTGCAGTCCTCTCTGTTGGTGCAGCCTTCACTCTCTGCGTTTTCTTCCTGTCCAAAAAATATCAACACCAAAGCATTGTAGTTTTGCCATGAATAGATTATAAAAAACCAGCTCAGGTAGAACAGAAACCAACACACCCACAAGATTTTCAAACCACCCTTCCTTCAAATTATTTTATGATCTGTCCTTCGGTAGTTATTAAAGATTTATTTTTTTTTTAGGAAGTCATATAATCTCAAAACACAAAGACCTGCATGAACGCTTTATTTACGTTTTTCAAGAGAGATTAACAAACCTGCTAGTAAAACAGTTTTTATGAAAAATCAGCTGTATTTTACCTACTCTCTGTTCAGCACTACAGCTAAGCCAGCTGCTTAGCCAACTCCTCTCCAAAAGCGAACAGATCTATATTTAGGATTTATAAATATTTTTTTCCCCCCAAAAATCTACTATTTAATCCTCCTCCAGCTCTTACAGCTTCATCCAAAAGCAGTTCAGAACGTGGAAACACAGCCAAGCTGTTTAAAAGCACGGTCCACTAGAGAAAGGTAGAAATCAAGGCATTAAGAAAGTGAATAGTCCAGAAAATCAGGACGCATACCAAATGCACTGCTAGGGCAAAAAGGTGTTGGGGAAAAGCAGCCAGCAGTGGCGCGATCCCTAACGCAAAGGAAGGCGATTAAACTCTTCTCCGAGCAGCACCACTACACGACAGACCCATCGGTCCCTGCGATGTCTGTAGCCGTGCAACAAAGCTTAAATACAGCCACACTAGAACTAATTATGTAAATCCTCCCATTTGGAAATTAAGTGAAAATGCTTAATGATGGGCCCTTTCCAGGGTAAATACACAAAGCAGAACACAGCACCAAGAACTGTGCATTGGTATTAAATTCAAAGCTGGTGATGAGAACGAAATTCAAACCCCGAAAGCTATCAGCGTGTTCCACAGTCGCGGAGCCTGTGTCAGCATTATTCAGGTGTGACAAATACCTGGGGAAGCCCAAGGAAACAAAGATATGCTCAAGAGTTTTACAGATTAATCAATGCAGAGGAAGGAAATTACTCCTGTGAGCTGACACATTTGGGGGTGCATTTTTCTGCTTGAAGAATCACACAGAATCATAGAATGTTTGGGGCTGGAAGGGACCTCTGTGGGTCATCTAGTCCAACCCCCTAAGAGTTTCCAAATCAATCTTAAAACCATATCATAGCCAGTAATCAAAGAGTTCTGCCATTAATTACCGGAGGTGCTACTATGAAGACAACATCGCTGGAATGGTTATAATTCCGATTATCTTAATTACAGTTAGACAACAAGAAATTACCTCAGGCTTCTCTGTAGTATCTTCTTTGGCATTTTCTATTAAAGATGATTTTTCCCTAAAATAGAAATTACTTAGATTAGAAGTGCAGCAGAAAAAGGGAGCGCCTTTAACGTATATACTGGCCGCCTCTACTTACAAAGACTCTTCCTGGCTTTGGGTGTACTGAGAGAACAAGGTAGTATCTTCTGATGCGTCCAAATTGTTGTACATAGCAGGAATATCAACTCTGAAACAAACCCAGAAATGGCAAGTCAGACTTTTTTTTTTTTTAAATAAAAGAAAGGATAGGGTAGTGCAACGCATTCCTCACAGGCGAGCGGATACTTCTAATGAAGTGGACTGAAACTCTCACGACCGCTCCAGCCGCCGCATGCATCCAAGCAAGGGCTGCTGCACACAGGGCAGGGCAGCCTGGGCGAAGCACCAGGAGACCTGGTGACCCCAGCTCCACGTCCCATTCTGGGCCAAAAAGACGCAATATTGCAACCAGCAGCTACCACCTCACACTCCAGCTGGCCCAGCAAACTGCGGAGCACACGCAGAGCATCATTCATCCCCTTATTTCAAGAGACCGTTTTCAGTTGTATTAAATCTTTTTTTAATTTCAAACGTGCTTTTGGGGAAAAAAATCTATCATTGAAATCCCCCTCCGCAAAGAATTCATCAGCACATGCTAACTGTATAATCCAGCTGAGTTCCTGTCAAGCACCAATGCACACAAATTTCGCTTATACTGCAGATTTTGCTGCCTGAGTACAGAAAATACCCCAGTATTATCTTCTTACATTAAAAAGAGGAGAATTCTAAAAATTCCCTTGGAAAAACAGTGAGTCTTAGGAATATCCTAATTTCTGATATGCTGTCGATGCAAGACTTCTAATTTAGAAGTCTTTCCTTCCACTAAAAACACCCTTTCATTTCAAAGATTTCAGGAAAATGGCATTTTCCATTTCACTGCAAGTGAGTGTTGTGAAGTAAAAAATGTAAACTGCAAATTACCAAATTCCAAACAGGTAACAGTATATTTAAACAAAATAGGAAATGCAGATCAGAGAATTATTTGGTTGCTTTAAAATAGTAAAGCAATGAACTTTGTTAGCTTTAACCTTTACAATTTGTATGGAAAAGTACGACTTAGTTACCTATAGTAGTCTGTGACACGGGAATTGAAGTTACGCCACTCTGACGTACCGAAGTGTAATGACTTTTCACAGTAAGTTTAAACCAGAATAAACTACAGACCTCTTTGACCTGAGCACTTCTTTTTGATGTTCTGTCAATATTCTTGCTTTTGTTTCTGGAGGAATAAACACAAAATCAACAGATCTCTCCTCTTCCAAGAGCATCCCGCTTGTAGTCTTTGAAGATGAAAACTCTAGTTTCAACTACAGAAAGGAAAAAAGAAAGCAAACCACCACTGGATTAGAAACAAACAGAGGAATTGAAAGTGTTTTCATAGCTCAGGTACAGCCACCCTAAATGCAACAGTTCCCAAACCACCGCAGTTCTTTCGGCTCACTGATCAGCACAGATCCCTCAGCAGGTGCTGAGTTTCTTCACGAGTGATGTTTTTCCCCCCCAGCGTTAGCACCTAGGAGAGATTCTGCAAGCCCTCCTCCGCACACCCAAGTCAGCTTCTGCGCTTCCTTTAGCATCTCGGCCTTCAAAGCCTGTCACAGGTGAAGGTACCTCGGCTCTCCTGAGGATTACCATTTACTGTTGTTTCCTACATCAGCGATTCCCTAAGAACACACCACCCTTCTCTCCCTGGTGCATGCGACGGGCTGGAGCAGGCAGCACCGCTCTGCCACAGCACAGAGCCACCAGAACACCCGAATCCATCGCAGCCTGCCACCAGGCCAGGCCGTGAGTTTGGTATCTGGTCACCACTCCCCCCATCCATCACGCAGCCTTCCATGACCCCTCCTTAAAACTCGGCAATCTGTAAACTCAGCAGAGAATTTTAAAGGGAATACTTAATTGAAGTGTGCTATACAGTGTCAGTTTGAAAGAAAAATACTTCAGCATCACAGAATTAATTAATTTTTCTGATAGTTTACAGCAGCATACGAGATGTTCTGCTGCAGAACTCACCTCTCTGAACACTCTTACCTTTGCAGGTGTTACGTGCACATTGCTGGACTTGTCTTTTACTTCGTTTTTCGGTTCGCTCGTCTGTGCCAATATAGAGTTCCGTTTCTGACCCAACTTTACTTCCATTCCACTTATCTTTGCACCCAGCTGTGAACTTTCCATCTATTCAAATAAAAATACACTGAGTATGTTGTATGAAGAAACTCCAAGCTCACAAACCCATCCCAAGATGTAGAAATTAATACAACTGAACTGTCCTGCATTCTCATTTTCCTCTAAATTAAGTAGAGGACAACTTAAAAAAAAAATAAATCAATTATTTCAAACAAGCTAGTAGAACCCAAATTTAAAATGCATAAACTGTTAAGAACCGGGTCAGTCTTTTGACAGTGCTTACCCAGTACAGTTTATCATTCCAGACACAAAGCATGCACAGGCCAGTTGCAGTGAAAATTAAAACTGACCCTCCCGCTACCTTCTGCACAATTCCCCTGGAGTTACACACAGCAAAGCAGCCACTGGGGGCAACAAAATATTTACCGCATCAGAGAAGGGGCCGCTGCATTCTTCGGCTATCTCAATGCTTTCAAAACCAGGCAGCAAGAGTGGAATTTTCTTTTTGGCTTGGCTTAACACAGATCTGCTCAACAAAAAAGAATTTAAGCTTATGGAGATGGGGGGGGAGGGAGAGGTACACAATAAGACCAGCAGGTATCTCAGCTTGCACAAAAAGTGGAATATAAATAGTAAACAGAACAATACCAATTCATTTGTACATAACCTGAGATCTCTTCCTTTAAAAATATGTAAATATAACAATGTATCTTACTTTAACTCTTCTGGATACGTTAACGATGCAGTCTTAGCGAAGGTCGCGTTCCAGAAGTGGGCGCACTGGTTGCGGATCTGTTTGCTCTTGTGCTGAAATACCACACAGAGCAACGGCGAAAGCTGCTCCAGCAGTTCACTGTCGTAAGAGCCGGTGCAGTGAGACTGCAAACACAGGATAATCTCGGCCAGTAGTTTTTCAAGCTGAGGGAGAGAAGAAACAGTAGGGGTTTTTTTAATTCAAATACCGCACATATTGACTATTTAAATGTTAAAGCATTATTATCCCATAAAATAGTATGGCCTGAATAAACAAGCTTAAAACATCACACCACATCAAAGTCTAATAGCTACACTAGTGCTCCTCCCCTCAGCTACCTTTTTAGTAAAAAATAAATCGCTTAAAAATTAAATCTCTACCTTCATTACATTTTTGAGATTTTTTTAGAATACAGGATGAATGGCAAAACTCGTGTCACACATTTTCCCAAACCCCAGCTACTTCTCTAGCAAGTTTACCTTGTTGTTCAGATGACTGTATACTTTAGATACATCAGCAAGCCTGCTGAAACAAACAAAAAAAGTTACATTTTGCTGTCCCATTTGTCCCAAGCATAAGAATTCAACACATAATGCACTCCAGCACTGCACACTAGTTCTAGCATACAACTTGATGAAATAATGTTGTGAAACGAGTCTCCCATCGGGCGATTCCAATATTGCCTGACATCAGTAGTTTCCAGTACGACTGCCCTTTAACCCCCACTGACTTGCACGCTAACTTTAAGAGAAACTAATGGAAAGGTCAGTAGCAATTAGTACAGACTTACAGGTTTTCTTATGAAGTAGCTTCCAGCTGCCTTCTTTGCATGGCTCTTAACCCTCTCCCCAAACAGATTTCCCAGGCCCCACAAATATTTGCATCAAAAAGCTGAAGTACCACCTAAACCAAGCAATTTCATGTAAATAAATCCCTACATACACCATCCCACAAAATGCGAGAAACCTGCATTTAGTAATTCATTTTATCAGCCTGTGACCTCCAACCTTCTATTTGCTTGCAGATGCCTTTAAAATACATATCCAACACTCCGTTCTGCTTTTTAACAGGCAATTCTAATAAAGACAATGCTCAAACAAAGGCAGATGAGCTGGGAGACAGAAAGGTGGTGTTCAACTTGACCCCACATAGCAACAAGTGGATCCTTGCTTCTGAGACAGGGACTCCTGATCAATTTTAGATTGGCGATAGCAGTCCTGCTCCAAGTTTTAACAAAAGCTTCAAGAAAGCGCTCTCGGGCTGACTGGCAGCACCCTCTCCCATCTGCCCTCCCCCCAAAAGGCTCAGAGCCGCACTCCATTTCTTTCCCTCATCCTGAGCAGAGTACAGCTCTGGCACCACCGGCAACGCAGCGACAAGTCCCTGCCAGCCCCCGCCCGCCAAGCCCCCCATAATCCCATCGTGGCTGGGGAAGACAAGCCTACAGCAACAGAAAAAATAAAAAAGCAAATCCACAGACAAGAAACACTGCGCAGAGCAACCACGAAGTATTTCTCAGTACTTCCCTCTGCTTAAAAACTTGAAGGATTTTAGTGTGCTTCAGCTTACTACGATTTCTCTATTTCCTACAAAACGTTGCACGGTTCCTGCCCACTAGAAAACGAATTACTGTTAATAGATGTCTTCACTGCAGCAAAAATGAGCAGCAGGTGGAAACCAAACACTTTAGTCTCGCAGAGATGCGAATACGTTCCCTCTAAGGAAACAATTTTCAATACCAAGCTTTCAGAAGTCCTACAGGTTCCCTGCCACGTATGACTGGGTAGGTGTGGTTTTATTTCTAAAGGAAAGGATGACGACAGAGACCGCTGCTCACACGTGTGGTATTTTGAATCCCACCGACACTCGGCGGTGGGCTCCGAGGCAGCATGCTGCGACGTGTGGGTCAGGCCCCTCCTGGCAGCCCCCTTTGCACAGGGACAACACCCCCTCTGTCACTGCACCCCCCTTTTTATGCAGCAATTGTGGAAACCCGCAAGTTCGCAGCGACTGCCCGAGAGACCCGTTCTTTTTGCAGTGCTGGGGTGCACTACAAAAACCAGGACCTGCTAGCTAGGCTGAATTTAGCAAAATACACAATGCTCTCAAAGGCGAGAGACTTGGCAGGAGTTGAAATTTCTTACCATTAGTGCCAAAGCTTTGAAACCCCTCAGCAATATTTAAATACATTGCTTGCCAGCGACCACACAAAATTTCACCGATATGCAGCAATACAAGGAATCCAGTTTTCCAACCATTCTTAAAATACTCACTTTGTTTTTTCATAAAACACTGCCAGGGGTTTTGAAAAAATTGCAAACATAGTCCCAATCACTGAAGGCAATGAAACGTGGCTGATGATGTTGTGAAGAATAGCAATAATTGAAGGACCAACAGAGACCAATGTTTCTGAAAAGATTTCTTTGGAACTGAACACATGGAAAGAGTTTAGTAACATCACCAGGAGTTTAAATAGGGAGGCAAGCTTTCCCAGGGGTTCCTTTTTCTTCTTAGACCAATCTGTAGGTGTCTGTGGAGCTAACATTAGAAGAAAAAAAAAAAATTAGGATTTTTTTCCCTAACCAACACGCAACCACACTAGCAATACCAGCTGATACGCATAAATTCTGGCACAGCTGGAGGAGCGAAGGGGTTATTTGTTTGTTTATTTGCAAGTGAAGCTTCCATCATGTTTTTTCTCACAGACATTTCCCACTAAAGCATTTCATGCTTTCAGCAGTCCAACACAATGTCTTACCACTTTAACAAATTCATATGGGAAAAGAAATTGTAAAAAACCTCATTTTGTAAATCATTTTTTCAGCTTTAAGTTATAAATGGAATCGGGAAATGGAACAAAGAACATATTGCATACAATGACCTTCTGTATTCTGTTAAACCCATTCCTGACTATTTTATGCAAAGCAGTTTCAGGAGCAGTAGCCTTTCAAATGTTACATTAAGAGTTCATCACCAGTTTTAGGCACGTATTGTATAATTCTAGTCTGTGGATTATGACCAAGCATCATTACTTCAGATTACATCTGAACAAAGCAAAAGCAGCAGATTTCACATGCCAAAAAAAAAGAAATTATAGCCAAAATGTCAAATACAACTACAGAAACCAGCAGTGTTTCACAGTGAAGTGAAAAGTAAAGCGGCCTCAACGTTTACATGAATTTCAGATGTATTTTGTCAGGCTATGCAGAAACTACTCAACTGCTCAACAAATAGAAGAGATGCGATACTCAGCTATGCATACTGGCTGATATTTTTAGTTCCTTTTTATGATCTTTTTTGTCAATCCCTTCAGTGCTTAGACAGTACGCATAGCACGTACAGACCACCAATACCCTACAGTCATCACTTCTGCATCTACAGCAACTCTAATTTTCAATCAGCTCTGGAAGAAAGACACTGAAAACCCCAATATTCAAGTATTTTCTTACATCTATGTTTTGGCTGGTATTTAGTACCATATGGTGCAAAGTTGATGCAGTCAACCATAACTGATATAATATGGGTGAGACCATCCATCATTGGCAACATCTGAGGAGGAAACAGAGGTCATCAGCAAAGCCCGGAAGGGCAACAGTGACAGAAAAAAACCACCTTGGCCATTCAGAAAAGCAATGCAAACAGCTTTTGAATTTAAAAGCAGATGAAATTTGTCTGCATTATCAGGTAAGACTCGATCTAGATCACATTACATTTTAAAATACACACATTTACAAAGCTGAAAATTGAGCCTCCCTGTTCTACGCAAATAGAACATAAGCACGTGCACTACCTAAAGCAGCAGAACCAGAGGCAGCTGTAAGGAGGCGTTAGATTTAAGAAGATGCATCAAAAGCACTACGGTTCAAGGTACTAGCTGTCTAGCAGAACCTGGTACCAGATGTCAGTGTGTGTACTGTACAAAGCCCGATTTTCAGAAAAATCACTGTAGGTACAACACCACGGTTGTCATTAACATTCAGGAAGCACAATTGATTTCTAGTACATAGAGAGATGGGTCAAGCTGTTTTTCTCCCCCAATCCATAACAAATTCTTCTAAATAAAAAAAAAAACAAACTTGTTTTTAAAAGGAACACTGACATTGTGGGCCAAAGAAAAAAACCCCACAGTTTAGTTTCAATATAACTTACATAGTGAAGCTCTAAATTGTTTAACTTTGGCTTGTTTAATAATTATTATTTTTTGAAAATTGAAGTTTAGCATCAGGATACAGCAGCACCCGAAGGAAGGTATACTGATGTAATCCTCCAAATTCCATGTTTTCAGATTCCATTTGTCTTTCTCATCTGTTTTTCATTTGTTCCTTTCATGGTATCTTTTCAAAAGACAGTCAACTCCCCACATGACATGGGCTTGCTAGCAGCCAAGACAGGGAATGTAAAGGCTTCCTCTTGCGAAAGCTTTCTCTTTTATAAAGCTTTACAAGTAAAGTCTTTATAATTTTAGTGTCCAAGGTTGACAGTACCAGGAACACGGCAAAATGATGCCCTCTGAATGCTACAGTGCTCCTCTACCCACCTTCCTAATCAAAATGCCTGGTTTTGTGGTATCTGTTAATTCAACCTGACATTACTTTATATATACACGCACATTTCCAGCGGACAAATCACATCTACCATGATGACAACATTCACCAAACCAGTATTACTTAAACAGTTAGAAGACAAATCCAAAGAGTGCTTAACCGCCAATTTTGATATTTAAGCTTTATAATTATTTTTACTCTCCTCTTTCAATCTGTTTCTAGATTAACTCCAAATCCTGTTAGCAAAAACAATTTTGTTACAGTTTTATCTACGTCTCACCCAAAACACTTTAAGTTACAGAAAGCAGTACATTAGAGTTTACAATAGGTTCTTATATCTAGTTTAAAATATATCTGCTAAAGTACTTATATAGTTCAGTATCGCTGGTTTATACTCACTACTGGAGTTTCACCTTCTAGCCCAGATATTATTTTGGCACAAAGTTCTTCACAGCATAGGTTTTCTTCTGCTGTTGCAACTAAAGCAGCACAGCGAGCAAATGCTCTATACAGGTCTGACCAAGTGCGCAACAAGGATTTCATAGTTGGCTTTAACAGAAAAAAAAAAGGTTTATAAATATCAGTGTCTGTGCAGAGAGATAAAAAACTTGCTTTAAGTTTTCTTCTTCTATCAAAACCTATGTAACTCCAGAATTCCAACCCTCGAGCAGTGGTCCAATGTATGTAAATATTGGTAGCTAATACTCTGAGATTATCAGATAATACTTTATAGTTTTTATAAAACCCATTTTGTTTCTAAGCAACACTATACATTCACTGTTACCTGTGGAAATTCCTGAACGGGGAAGATGTGTGATACTGGTAGCAACAATGCACTATAGACAGCATTGAAGTTGTGTTCCAGTGCATCACCCTGATTTACTTCGTTAGTCTGCAACGAGAAAACAATTTTGTGGTCAAGGAAGCTGCAAAATTTGGATGACAAATAAGGTTGTTCTGAATACATTTATTTTGGACACAAAATCCGTGCAAGCTAAATTGCCAGTGGCAGTTTGAAATTAGCTACGCTCAGTTCTGTCAAGAGTTCAAGCTGATCCTACTATTTAGAGAGATAAAAAGCACTGTTTCTTAATTCCAAGATAAGTTAATTCCAAGAACAAAAACAATCAGTTAGAAAATCTTATGTATATTTTACTTATTTCATTTGCAATAAGTGATGACAACATCCTACTTAAAGCTTTCTTCATAGATTCTAAGACTTCTCGGTATAATGACTACACGAGGATTAGTGCAACAGCTCCCACACCACAGTCCACGTACTTCCAGCAAGTCATCGGCAAAACCTGTTAAATATTACACTTTATACAGCTCTCAGTGGGGCTTCCAATCAAGCAGTCTAACATTAGTAAGAAACACTGTTCTAATCACATCCTAAACATCATAACTCAGTGTTTATTATGTTTTCACATAAAGCAAACAAGCCTTAGTATCTAAACGTTAAGAGGTCCTGCAGGGCAGGTGTACATCCTCTGTAGCAGTGAGACTGTGCTGAGAAGGGTGGAAGCACATCTATAAACATGTTCACAGTCTTAAAAGGGGAGAAAAACACTCCCAGCACTATACTACTGGACACTTGAGAATGATCATTCTTGTTGACTGGAATCACTTCAAACCATGCTCTGGATCACTACTCCACTACTGCCCTTCATCCCACCGCACTGCACGTCCGTACTCCAGTTGGAGACTTTAAAAAAACGCTGCACAAGTTGCATTTTCACTAATACTACCAAGGCTTATGTAATTCGACCATCACTTCAAGCCGCGTAATTCCTAACCATACTTCAAGATAAAAGCTCAGCACAAAGCTTTCCCGTGGTTTTTCTTGGGAGGCGGGGATGGGGAGGAGAACAAAAGCCACTGTACCCGATTAATCCATTCGGTTAGTGGATTAACAACAATACTCCATATTCTCCATAGATGCTCCTTATTTTCCACTTGCTTTGCACTCTGATTAATTATGCAGATCACAGATTCACTGAAAGCCAGTGGAGATGTAGGCCCAGACAAAACATAACCCACGAGCGTTTCTAGAATTACGAAGAATCTAGGGAAAAAAAGTTAAATAGGTAAGGTAATTCTTTCAGCTGGCGTTAGCATAAACTTCTACAAAGTCTTACACCACGGGAAGCTTGTTACAAGCAAACACCACCACGTACCTCTCCTCTGTTACACAGCATTCCAAGAGGTTATTATGGAAAGGCAGCTGAATTAAGAACAAAGCTGGTGTGCCCTTGTAAGAGAAATTTAAGAGGTCAAAACAACATACACATTGATCAAATGAAACTGCTGCCTCGCTTCCACGTGTATCTATATACTGTATTTAATTCAAAGCCAGAAACTTGCAATTATTAGAAATTGTCCAAAATTTGTCAGTTCTAACACTTCAAAATAAAAATGAGAGGCAAGGCTGTAAACCTAAGCTTCTGCTAGATCCCGGTGCTTCAGCAGAAGACCAATTGTACTACGGCTGAAGCAAAAAGCTTTTCTGTTGAAAAGGCTGTGATTTTTACAGTGCTTAGTCATTGCTGCCTTGACATCACATACAACACAGTATGGTAGGTGTACATAATGCAATTAGTGCTACTATGGTACCTGGAACAAGATGGAACAACCCAAGATTTGCGTATTTCAAGGTTTAAGCAAGATAGATTTTAACAGAGGCTGCCCAAAAGATATCACAAGTGCTTCAGGTTTGCTAATATCACAGCATTTAACAAAATGCATTTAATACCTGCCAATTAAAGCTTCAACTGCCTTCTGACTCTTGTACCCGAGTCAGAAAAACCCTCCAAACATAAACAAAAGACCCAGGAAAAAAAGCTGAAAGGAATTTTGAGAGTTGACCTCTTAAGCAAATTCTGGTAGACAAAATTTTCTACTACTCGCTTGAGTTGAAGCATTCACTTACTCTGCTACATCTGGGTCCTCCTCACAGATACTGTCTGCTTTTAAAAGCCCCCAAATGAGTTCCATGCACTCCCTGGCTAGCAATGTAAACGTTCAGCTGTTTCCATGGGCTAGAAAGCTCTGTCTCCACTGCTGCAGAACAAGCAAGTTTCTCCCCATCTACTGGCGGATGTAGGAGAAGAGCTGATGATCATCCAGCTTCAAGTCTTAAAACTACCTTTTGCATTTTTAATAAACCTAACTGTAGTGTGCTCCTACTCAGTCTGCTTCCACCCCAAGCAAAAGCCACACACACAAAAAAGTGCATTTTCAGTCTTACACGTTATGTTTTGTGGTTATTTTCTACGTTGCCATCACCTATTCCTCCCTTCCAACGCAGTATGCAGGACACAGTACAGCACTCGTTACGGCTCATTAGGACCAAAGCAGAAGCGAGTAGTTCTCACTACTAACGAACACCACCACTTTTTCTGCAGTGGACTACAGCCAGTAAGTTCAGGTTTTAGTTAATGAGGACTTCTGAACTTGTTCTGAAACAATGCCAGCAAGATATTCTCTGCTTTGTTCTGTGCATTAACTTTTCCTGAGGAGTAACACTTTCTACGTTTCCTTAAAGCACTTCACTCTGTTGACTCCAGAACATTTCCCCAAAACACCAGTCTTCTGTGTATCAGTAGTCCTACGCAGTTTGGCTACGCTGCCTCCTTGCAAAGCACCTGCAACCTGCAGTTTAAATCATGACCCGAACATGACAAATCCTCTTTCCTTACTACAGTACATTCAACACACGTCTTTTAAGCTATAGACAGTTAAATTATTCATCACAAGTGAGGGCTGGAGACAAAGTCTGCATTCTGGAACATGGATTAATACGGTTTCCTGAACGATCTAGACCTAATGACTTATGAAGTGCTCTGTGTGTTTGTGCAAATATGACATTCTAATACACTTCCGCATAAACAAAGTTCTGGAACGAAGTCTTTTTTACTTACATTTAAAAGATCCATATCGGCAACCTGATAAGCCGGTGATCCCAATACTTTTGGAGGCAATTCCTTAACTGTAATATCAATGAGGGACTAAGTAGGGGAAAAGAAGAAAACGTATGTAAATATTTTTTTTTCCTGAGGGCTCAAATATTTTAAGTAACGCCACAAATAAAGCAAAATTGTAACAACTGCTTGCCTTAGTAAGAAGAAAAACATCCATTGTGAAAGTAAACCTGAAGAACATTTCTAGAGAAAGAAACCCTTAAGCAACACTATGCCATCTAATCACGATTTCGTAACTTACAGTTTACACCAGAAAAGCTGTCTCACTTAATGAGACCATTCTGGTAAGCTAGATGCAAAACACTGCTACCAATCAGAATCTAGACCATCAAAAAGAAAAGAGATTTAAAAAACAGATGAACCTGTCCAACTTACCAGTATTTTCTGCAGAGGAAGAGCATTTGATCTAACGGTGTTTTTCAAGGCCTGGAGCAACATAGTCAGTATTTCCGACCCTTGCTTTTCTTTCTTATTTCCTAGAATAAAGTGTATTTACAGTTAGAGCAGGACAAAGTAGTGGTTACTCTGACCATCATTTAAAACTTAAATAGAATGTACTGTAAGATCAAAAACATTCTGTGTACTTTTATAAAAAATGGATTCGGATACCAAGTCTCTGTTCTGCAGAGCAGCTTAACTGAAACTCAAATGTTTAACTAAAAACCCCTAAGTTTTATTAGCAAAATGGAAACACCTTTGTATCATTAACAACCTTAACTTTGACATGCTAAAAAGAGTTGTGAAATTCTGCATTCATCCAAGCAATGCACTTCATTTCTCTTACACTTTTCAGTTAGATCTTGCAATAAGAGACTTCATTATTAAGAATACTGTGGACTTTCAAAACCTTTACTGACTAATGAACACTTTTTTAAAATAGGAAACAATTTACTTCTATACATCTGTAACGACACTATACTTCACTAAGAAATAAAACTTCAAGAAAAAAGGTAGCCATAGTCAACGACTTTTCAATAATTTGAGTCACACACAATGTTTCAATTTCTCAATGCCAAAGACATGGGGTGGGGTTATTTTTCGGGGAAATGGAAAGATTTCTTCAGCAAGAAAAGCAGTTAAAGTGCTTTTGTCTTACTGCTACACACAATATGCCTGCAGTCATAATCTGCTCCGCCTTCCCTGATAAGCCTCACTGGATCAGATGATTTTATATTTGTCACACAAAGATATGGGCGTTATAAAAAGTATCAGCTGTTGCTTCAAAAACAACTACTGATGATGCCCCAAACCAAGTTTTACCAACAACAAATACTACTTCAGGTCTGGTCTTAAAAAAACACCCCTCTAATTGGTCAGCAACGACAAATTTCAAAAAAAACCCAAACACTTTTTACCTGATTCAATAGCTGTTTTTACATATCCATTTATGTCCTTCCATATAACATTCAGCATACAATCTACAAGATAGCATAATATTTTTTTTCAGTTTGTAATAAAAACATGAAACAAAACGGCAGTTAAAACACAAACTGTGTTGAACAACAGACTTTGATGTAAGCCAAAACTGGCATACGCTTTCAAACCAAGTCAGACCAGTTCTATTTAATGTCAACACTGGAATGTTACAGAGTGGTTATTGTTCCTTTGGTTTCCCTTCCCCACTTTATTTTCCAGAAAAGAAATCAAATTTCACTACTAAATTCTTACCTGGAACTTCTTTTCCAATTGCAATAAAGCCATCCTGAACCGCGTTTATTAGTGTGCTGGCATGCTTACAAAAAAAAGAAGGGCTACTGATCAGTGGGTACTGGAGAGGCTCTAGGAGAACAAAAAACCATATTTGGTACATCTGTTATTTTGCAGCCTGCTGGTGAGATAAGTCTTAAAAATAATCAAGTATATATGTGTACTTACAGCATTTAACATAAAAACAACTTCTAATATTAAATGACAACTAACAGTTTTAAATGTTTAAAGCATTTCATGCTAAGACATCTTCAAATCCAACAAAACTGGCAATTTCAGATTACGCAAAAGTACTTCAAAAAAATGTAACTCATATACCTAAACTAAGTACAAGTTTGTTTTGCTTAGCAAAATCTAAAACTTCTGGTCCCATCACAAAGTGCAGCAGCATTTCAATTCCCAAAAGCTGAATGGAAGGAATCACCAGCACTCCTGCTGTACTGGAATTCAAGTTCATCCTTGGTGTGACTGGACTCACAAGCGGGTAAGGACCTACGTGAGAGGAGAAAAATGACATTGTCTCCTGTTTCACCCACAAACGAGCGAAAGGAAAGATCCAACAGACCAAAACCCCAAAGTGAACATAAGAACAAATCCTAGACTAGCGTTAGGGACTTCTAACAGCCAGACAGGTATCTAGCACGCACTCCTGTCAGGTAGGGTTCAGCATCACGGTCATAACCGTCTATCTGCAAAGTATAAACACTTTCCAAAGACTGCAAAGTCTCAAACGCCAGACTATTTTGGCCACAAAAGCCTCCACGGAAGTTGTGGTTATAGAGCAGATTACACACTACTCTATATAGTTACTAGTTCTACAGTAATTCTACTGCTATGAAAGGGTTTCCATTAGGAACTTTTACACCAAACACAAGTTTAAGAGGTCTCACGTGCAAAGCATTTTGGCCAGCCTCAGCTATGATCTCACGAAACCAAGACAAACTTTTTATTAAAAAGGGAATAAAGGCAGATCTACACATCTACAACATTTCCACAGCATCCCCAAGGCTTCTAATCACAGCAGGCTAGAATTGCACAGGCTGCGACTGCCTTGCTTTCCACACAGAGGAGAAAAAAAGGCAGTTCCTTATCTCAGGTGTTTAGATGCAAAGCTTAAGTCGGTGTGATTTCACACGGATTTAAAGTACCAAAATTACTGATGTACTATGATCACTGGGTTGCTATTCAAGCAGAAACTAAAAATGCTGTAGAAATCAGAATGGCAAATAGCACATAAATGAATACATGAAAAACTAAGTTTCAAATCAAAGCTCCCTTGCAAAATTCAGGGCATTAAAACTGGTCCTCAGCACAATTTGATTAGCACAGTTTCGTAAACTTGAAACACTGACTACAACAGCCTCATTCTATCCAAGGCAAATCACTACCTCTGAGCTCTCCAACAAGCAGGGAGAAAAATGACTGTTTTCAATAATACCATACTGCAAATGAAAAAGCATGACCACATTACATAGAACAGATTACGTGCTGCACCTAGAATGTACTCAGACACAGGCTTGTGCTTTAATACCTGATTTCTGCACAGGGGTTGCCGAGGCTAAACTTTGGTTGGCTGGTGCACGGGAGGGAGTTCCTTGCAATGCAGCAGAAGCATCTAGGCTCAAAGTACTTTGGATTAATGGCACACACACCTGCAAAGACATCAAGCCTCAGTGAAAACAGGCATGACACACATAAACCACCAGCCACAGAGAACCACACATTTCAAGTATCACACAGACTGTACTGTCGTTCACAGCAACAGTGTTTCAGAGCTTCTGGGTACTTGTAACAGTATTTTTAACATGCTGTATAAAATATGCATACTGATACATGACATAGAAACAGCTGGATTAAACAAAAACTCTTGTTAGAATGATGCAACTGCATTGTATCTGAAAAGGTAAGATTTTTTTTTCTTTACTCCCATCCTGAAGTTTAATTTAATGAATTCCAGAAGCCTAAGAGAAACATTATATTCATTCCAGTTATAATGTCAGTGGTAATAAAACACCTGGATCATTTTCTCTCTACACACCTTTCTAAATACTCCTGTGATCCTTTCAGTATGTTTTCCTGCAGCACTTTCCAAAGCATACACTGCACAGTGAAAGGACAAAGCAGTCCCTACACAATGTGCTTGTGCTTACTACTGCTGTGCACTCATTGGAGAGTTTCACTGAGATGCTCACATGACATGCAGATACGCTCTGAAATCTTCTGGAACTTTAAAGGTTGCACCTATAGTCCCAAGCGCTCCTGCTATATACACACACACACATATACAAAACACACACACGCACAGCACACAAATACACAAGTCAGACTTGGTTCCTCAAGACAGTTTTATTTTAATAATAAACTAGAGAAGGCCAAAGCAGGTATAGAACAGTAACAAAGAGGGGACAGCTTCACACACTCAACATTATGCTGTAACTATTTTCAGGTGTTACCTGTTCAAAGTTTGCAGGCAGCTGAGGTCCCAGCCTCATGAGTAAATACCACCAGACCTCCAGTTTTGTCAGGGCCAAAGCCTCTGTTCTCACATGGATCGAGCTCAGTGGCTGCATGAGCAGTTTCAGCCTTTTAGCACTGCACAATATATCTTGAAGACCAAAAAAAAGCAAATTTTTAAGCAACACAAAACACAGAGCAACAAAAAAGGAAAATTATTAAACCATTACATTTTTTCCTAATATATTTTAGCTTAAAATTCAATTAATGACAATTTGCAAAACTAAAATACAGAGTAAATGCACCAACCTTTCACATTATTTTACTGCTCTGATTGTTGTCTAGAACAACGCTGGAAATAGCAAGTATTTCTTTCCAATACCAAGACTGAAATGAAATCTACTGAATACCAACATAAACAGAAGGAAATTCACTCTTGCTTGCTATGGTAGTCTCTCCTATCTGTCACAGTAAAAGAAAAACCAAACGCTTAACATACGTGGATTAACGCTGGATGAGGATGAACAATCTTAAACACAGTATTCTGAGGCTGCAAATGATCATTCACCACTGAAGCCGAGATAGCACAGCATGTCTGGACAGAAGTTCTCAAGCCTATGCAAGTGTTCAAAGAAGAGACAAACTTCTGGCCAGCTCAGCGGCATCAGAACCCGCCCACACGCGCTCGTAAGCGACTGCTGCCGGAGCCTGCTTTGGCAGTGTGCAATCCTGATCAGCCCTACTGGACAGGCACGATGAACGACAATCGTGAGATGCATTTTATCTTCTGAGAGAGTCTGATCCTTTGTTAATTAATTTATGGGAAACAACGATCAGAACAAATGACCAGATAGGAACCAAATTAAAATGACAATTTAAGGTCAATTCAGCTAAACTAAGGAATGTCCACATTTTGCTTCCTATTCAGGACACACAGTAAGGAGAAGCACAATCAAGGTAAAAAATAAATACTGTGTGTTGCGATACAGGCTAGACTTACAAGACTTGTTCAGGTCTCAGTTATACCTTTAAAGCAACTTTTTTTTCACATCTCTAGAATCCTGAAGCATTGCCCTTGTACAATTAATCCACACAGCCCATAATAACATCCTTTGTTATTGTTTTACTCACTATTTCATTGCTGTTTGGATCAATTAAGGCATTACAGAGCAGAGGCTTGTTAATTTTATTCTATTCATTTCTCCTAGCAGAAAAATTAAGATAGAATTACTGATCAAACTGTCACTTTTACTTAAAAAGAGGCAACTTTCACTTATGTATATACACACAGTATATACCACCATTTATATACACACCACTACATGTACACCAGAGATACCACTGGATATACATGTAGCGTATGTACCACAGTATTGACCATTACTAAACAGAAGGCAAAAAACCCAAACTCTCTTCCAATTACGTGAAGTGACGGTAGTCAAAGCAATTCAGGTTAACTTTTTTTAATCTACCTGGATTTAGAGCAAAATTATCTATTAGACTCTTCCATGCAATGAAGGCTATTTTCTTTACCACTGGTGAGCCACTACGAAATCCAAGTTCCTCCAGTTGCAGCAATGAGTTGATGAAACTGCCACTACGATGCAGAGTCTGAAAATAAAGGAGTGCACAAATAAGACACATTGTCAAAACGCCTTCCCCTGAGGATTCATGACTGTAAAACTTGCTGCTTGTCTGCTTACCTTTCCAAGCAACTTGACAAACAGCGGCCACAATTTTAGCACGTAAGTCTCATTTTTTGTAGAAAACAATTTCTGAAGTTCTGAAATTAATTTCTGCAGACAGAAAGAGACATAATTTCTACAAGAAATACATTCAAAGTATTCTAAAAACTACATACTCATATCAACGTCTGGAGACACAAACGACTTGGAACTATGCTGTTTTTAGATTAGAGGGATTTAATTCTGTACCACGTAGCCTTTGCTGGTAAAACAGTGAAGCGCTGCTACCATCTGATTACCTTCTTATACTTGAAGTTTATGGCTGGTTTCAATTATTTTTGGGGCAAAACTAAATGCAAAAGAGAGGATTTGGGGAACTACAAGACAGCCGATCTTGCTCCCGTGTGTGGAAAAAATATGGAGCAAATTCCCATGGAAGCCATTTCTAGGCACATGGAAGAACAAGAAGGTTCTTATGAACAGCCAGCACAGTTTTACCACGGGCAAAACCTGCTTTTCCAATCTGACCTCTATGAGGCAATGCCTGGCTTTGCAGACGCGGGGAGCGCAGCAGATGTTCTCCCATCCAACTTTGGCAAGGCTTTTGACACTGTCTTCTCCAGCGTCCTTGCAGCCCAAGTGGGGAGACACAAACTAGTCAGTCAGATGACAAGGTGTGCGGTTGGGCTGTTAGGCTCAAAGGCCAGCGGTTAGCAGTTCAGAGCCCGTGTTATGGGCGTGATTTACTAAGGACTGACAAGGGCCAATATGATTTAACACAAACGATGACGGCAGCAAAAGCATCGGTTGATATGCTGGAGGACAGGGCTACCACTCATACAGATCTTCACAAGCTTCAAAAATGGACTGGCAGAAGCCTCACAGAATTCCAAGGCAAAGTCCTACATCTAGGACAAATGAAACCCACCGAGGACTCACAGGCTACTGTTACACAGCCTCTGCAGAAAAAGAGGTCCGGGACAAGAATTTTAATGCTAAGTCAGGAATGTGCTCCTGCCTACTGGACTGCACTAGCAAAAGCACAAGAAACAAGTCAAGAGAACTGACCCCTCTACACGGTACTCATCAGATCACCTCTGGAATACCGTAGCAAACAGTGGGCTCCAAAGTACCCGAGCTGCTGGCAAACTGGAGTGAATCCAGCAGAAGGTCACCACTAAGATGGTTAGGGGACAGAGCTCATGACAGAAGAGCTAGGCTCGTTTAGCTTGGGGTGAGAGGGAATATAGCTGCAGCCTTCCACTACTTATAGCTGGATTACAAGGAAGAAGCCAGTTGCTTCAGAGAAATACTGAAAGAAAGGACTGGAGGCAACAGACACCAGCTTCAACAAGGCAAATCCTATTTTTACCACGAGGGTGGTTAAGCACTGGAACAAACTGCCCAGATAGGCTGTACAATTTCCATCCTTTAACACAGCCAGACCTCAACTTGACAAGGCCCTGAGCAACTCGGTCTTAACTTTGAAGCTAGTCCTGCTTTGAGCAGGAAGCTAAGCTAGATGATGCGAGTTACTGCCACAGCAAGTTCTGCTGACTCCAGTTTAGTAAGCAAATTCTCTTTACGAGACAATAAAAGTTGGAGTTAATGCTATCAAGGCAGGTGCTTAAAGGTCATTTAAAAATGGCAAGTTATTCTCCTGATCAATGATTCTTGTCAGAAACTTTTTTTTTTTTACAGTGGTCCTATATTTACACTGTTGTTACATTAACTTTTCTGTCAAAATTGCCACCATCAAGAAGTTGCTGTCTGTCAACACACAGCAGCTTTTTGCTGCCATTACCTAGACTGTAAATAAAATTACCCCCCCCCAGCCACCCAACAACCCCGATTACTGTCGTCTCTAGACAAAAGGCACAGCCTTTCTACTTACTGTGGTCATGAGGTGCTCAGTGACAGCCGCGACCTCCTGCTGCTTCTGGAGGAGCAGTGGCATGCCCATCTCCAGTGCAGTGGCACCTCGCAACTGCACCTTATGAGCTGAATGGACGACCAGAGGAATGATCATTTTTGCCCACCTCACAGCCTCTTCTCCCATCTCGGCTGGAGTTTGCTCCATTAAGCTAGAGCCAAAAAAACCACATAGGCATTACAAATCTCCAAGATATGCTGCTCAGACACCCAAAGATAATCTTAGTATCACCAATAAGCGCTCTAATTCAACATACAATTTACTGGAAACCATTCTGAAAACATTATTTTTTCATTATTCTCAATAATTGTATTTTGACAGTTCACTTACAACTGCAATGCTAAAGTGTTATTTCAAAGAAACCTCTCCAAAGGCAGACAGACTGACACTCACAGTTGTCCTTTCCATTCTACCGCAATTTTGGGGGCAAACGAGCCAAATTGAGAGCCTTAAAGTAACATACCATCACTTCCTTATCAGTGACCAAGTACAGAGTTTGCATATTAACCACCCCTTGTGTGTTCTTCGCAATCCAGACCAGCTCCAACAGGTCACGTGTGCCAAAACCAATATATGCCTGCTTTTGAAAAACAACTCAAACCCTGAAGCAGCACAGGTTTGCACAGACTCAATGTACATCAGCCCAGTCAAGCGTTCTTCGCTTATCCCTCTATTCCTGAGCTGTCAGAGCACAGTATGACATGCAATTCCATGTGTTTACACCATCCCACGCAGGAGCCAATGAGACTTTCAGAAACGGGAGCACCTGGCATATATCCAAACTGGCCTGTAGGAACAAGCCACGGAATTTTGCTAGTGTCCTCTTTAGTGCAGGTATGCCAAATGCCCATCACTACAGCTTACAGAGGGTTTGCTGCACTACGGAAAACTGCTGCCTTTCAAGGGATGTTACTAAAACCAGAGGACAAGCACTGCTTCACAGAACAGTTTCCCGTTGCATCTGTCAGCAGCCTAACTTCTGTCAGCATTGTCTTACCACTGCTGTCAATCAGCCCGAGACCCTGTATCTATTTATTCTCAGATACAACTCTTGCTCTTAACAACAAGTACGTTCTGCTATACTACACATTAAATTATTTTTATATATAAACAAACAAACATATATTTATATATATAAATAATTAAAAGAAACTAACAAAACGTCCAATTTTTCAGAAACAATTGTCTATTGAATCTCAGATTTACAAAAGAGAAATTTGTGTACAATCAGCCAAACAAAAGAAACTGCTAAATATTCAGTGAATTATAACATCCAACTTCTCTGTTACAGAAAACGGATGTATTAAAATAGAGATAAAATAAGGAAGTAATTACTGCTTTAGCTACCACTCTAAAATGGATTTGCAGTTCAAACCAAATGCAAAAAGTTTAAGAGAATAATTAAATAGTGGTAAAGATACAAACTCAATTTATTTACTAATAAAGAAATTAAATTAATAGTAAGTAAAGATAAAGATTTGACTATTCTAGCACGGCTGATCAAAACAATGCACTCTGGGCGTTGGTCCTAAAAAGTCACCTTCGGAATTAAACAGTACCCTCAACAGTGTTGTAAGAAGCATGGCCATAAAATCTGTAAAGCACCAAGACGACATTTATAAATATAAAGCCATATAATGGCTGAGAATTTCTCAACCAGCTAGGTTCTGAAAACAAGAATGTAGAACACGACTTGTGAAATGCACTTGAGACTGTGAAAATAATTCCTAATAAGCCATCAAAAATGAAAGCAATGAAAGTTTTATCTGACTACTTTCTGTGTCAGAACTGCTTGTCATATTACCATTAATGGAATAGTTTGCAAATGAAGCAGTTCAGGAGAACCACTGGCAAAGAGACAGAAACACACGCAGTGGTTCACACAATTTGACTCTGTGCTACTGACTGTAACACTAAACACTGCGGGCAAACAGTCTTGAACATATTGAACAATTTCTTTAGAATACTTAGTGCCATTAAGATTCTGTTTCAATAGTTTCCCTAAAAAACTAAGCATCTATTTTAACAAATTAACATTGCAGTGCACGTACCGTATAATAACATTCAGTGCTTCGTATTCAACCACCATAGACTGTACATCTCCTTTAGTAAGTATCGTTTCCAGGGTAGAAATAATCCTGGACACCTGAGGAAATAAGAGAAGAACATTAGAGTGAGCACCCAAATACAAATATTTCTATGAGGAGCTGGAATTATGAAATTTTGTTTCTCGGGACTGTGCCCTGTGTTTGGATTATGCTTCGTCTCGTCTTCAGGTCACAGATCTGACCAAACTGGAGTATTCACAACATTCCTCCCTTATGCTGCCTCACTGGTATCTAACAGAATTGCTCACATTGCAGCTTCTCCCTCACAAGTAGTAATTTTTTGGCTCTTTTCCCGCTGTAGCTGCCCTTACAATTTTCTGAGAACGTAGGCCCTATACGTGGCTGTCAAATTTGATGCAAAATGACCTTCAGATTCAAAAGCTCCGGAGTGGAGAGTAACCAAGAGACTGCGCAAGCCTCATCTCCCCAGGAAATCAGGCTACCAGCAAAAAAAAAAGGTGAAGAAACTTACCTCCTTTTTAACAATTTCAGAAGGAAACGCCTGCTTAGAGATCACCCAAAGTGCCCGAGTGCGAGTGTTTCTGTCTGAAGCATTTACGGCAACGCTGTTCACCGTTGAAAGCAAGTCTTGTACTTCAGTTGCTGAAAGCAGAACGCACAGCACTCAAATTCTGTTCACGCAATTCTCATCAGCTTCTCAGCAAGTTTCAGGTCATTTTGCTCAGTTAACAAAATGATCCATTCAACTAGAATTTCCAACAGACATGAATTAATGTCTTAAACATTACTTTCTGGCAATTTTTGGAAATTTCTTTCAAAATAAACTAGCCAAAAAGGTTAAAATGTATTAATATATATGTACTACATTAATACTATCTGTATATTAACTTCATAAGAAACCACAAAACTATAAAACCAGAAGACAATTTTACCTAAGAACACTACAGATAAAGATTAAATATTTAATTATTAAAAACATTTTGGATTTCAAATGAATTCAGCAGCACTTTGTCTGGTCAATTGCACTGCTATACTGACATACATAAATTCATTTTAGGGTCTCGAAGAGGCTTTGTTATTTAAGAGTGTGGTAAAACTTTAAAAGGTAACAGCAAACTTATTACACCAAAAAGAGTAAGGCTAACATAGGATTTACATGCAACTAGGAAAGCAGATGGAGAAATCATGTATTCCTCTAAAATTCAAAACTAATAAAGCTTGATTTCTTACAAAATTGGACTTCATGGGTAAATGATCTCACTATCAGAGAACAGTAAGCTTACATACACTCCTCAACCAAGAGTACACATGCTTTTTGTCCTCTCTCCCTGACTCTCCACTGTTTTCAGGACCTAATTTCTGAAACCTGACATTCTCTAACAAAATTGACCATAATGTATCAACTGGTTAAAAAAAAAGTTGAGGGAAAGGAAAGGGACCACACAGACATCATTACAGATGCCTCACTCAAACTTTAGCCCGATTTCCTGTGAGAATAACAGGAAAGCAGGACACACTGGAAAACGAGTAGAAGAACCAAGAGAGAGAAAGAATCAATTTCAATTAACAGAATGGCAGTCACACAAAAAAAAATGCTCTCTGCACATCCACACACACGATTTTCTTCAGTCTTGCCCAAGGTTAAGTTTCTTTCTAACAAAGGTCATTCCAGAACATTTGTCCAGGAGCCTTTAACACTTCTCAGAAAAGGAAAGAACAACTGACATTACGCCATTTGTTATTACCACTTGAAGAGTGACTACAGACTCCTGTACCATCAAGGCACCACGCAACAGCCAGATCGCACTGCACTTCCTTCTGAGCCCACGACAGGACACCTCAGCTGAAGCACCTTCCACCACCACACAAGCTGACAGACACACACGCAGACAGCTGACACTGAGCAGCTTCCGACTGTCTTACAGCAACTGGATCTGCCTGACCCCTGGAACAGGTAACAGGTACCTCCTGAGGACCAGCCAACTCGGACATTAGCTCTCCTCTGTTCACTAAATCCACTGTTTTCACCTTGACGAATAGCCTTGAGTTCTCAGCAGCAAAACTTTTCGCTGAAGGGATTTTGCACTTTCTAGGAATGTAGGCCGTAAGATTTTGGATTACTTTAAATTACCTTAATCCGAAATATTTACCAGCACAATATTTGGGGTTGAACTAGATGACCTTTAACGGTCCCTTCCAACCATTCTGATTCTATGATTTAATGTAACAACCAGAAATCACCAGGTAAAGGTTGGAAAACACTGAAAAGCACTACTACACATACCCAAATTCTACAATAAAAAAAAAGCGCTCCTCATTCTGTTTCCACTGCTTTTTTGATTACTAATTCCACAAAACTAATCACAGTACCTAACAGCTATCAAAGCATTTAGGAAAACTAGAAGTTAGTAAAACAGTTATTTAGCATAACAGCAAAAAAAAATTACTATTTTTTTGTACAAGGTGGAATTAGTGAACTGATCACACTGTTCACACTAGAGACAAAACCACCGTGCCACTTGGTAACAGTAAACTTTGTCAAAATTAAAGTATATGCCAACAAAGACATAAAGAATTGTGATACGCACACACACGTTACCAGCATCCACACTAAAGTTTGTTTGCTTACCAGATAATTGAGATGAGATACTTGAATTAAAAACGCAGAATCCCAACGCCTGTAATGCTGCACTGCTTAGCTCTGAGTTTTGGCTAGAAATGTGTGCCTGAAAAAAAAAACCCATATAAAGTCTCGGTTTACGGAACTAGCAGTGAAGTATTGTCTTAATACCCACAGTCCTGCTCAGTGAAGAGAGACCTGGCAAAAGCAAACACTCGGTGAAAAATGCACCTAAGGTAAAAACCCTTCCTGACTACGTACACTCCAAATCAAGAAAACAGACTGAGGTTCTGAAGACATTTTTGCACTCTGTAATTTAGACATCTTTACTGAAGTAAGTTCTTTACTTCTTCACTTGTTATGTACTACCACTTGACTCTCCACTTGTTTTTACACATCTAAAACAGAAAGGAAAAAAAGATGGCTAAGAACAGTCTTTAATCTTCAAAAAATATTGACATTTACTGCATATTCCAAATCCCCAAAGCGTTTCTAAAAACAGACAGAACACACCGTGTCTTTTCTGGCTAGCAGATCAGATCTGACCACATAACACTCCCCAAACACATCCAAGACCCTGTATCTTTTTTTTCCCTGTAGTAATTTCTAGTAACGTGAAAGATATCTTTGTTCTCTGAAGTGTAGAAAATTGAAGAGACATACCTTAAACACTTTGCAAAGTTGAGGAAAGTGTCTTCTGACTTCCGCAGTGAATACTTTGCCATCCTCACCCGTCAAGCGACTTCAGGGAGCAGAAAGGAAAACAAGAAATAGTCAAAGGTTAAACATGTTATAACTGTCATTAGCTTTAAACTTCTAATACACAACTAATTAGTTAGTGTAGAAGCATTCCTTTCCTTAGAAAGCTAAAACGCAACACTGAAGCAGTTAAAGAGCAAAAATAGCAGAGACCACATCGTTTGTCTGACATATCAGTAAAAGAATGTGTTATAAAGAACACGCGTCCCCATATATCCAAAAAAGTGAAGTGGCTAATGACCCATTTTGTGCTTATGGAGCATAAAAACACATTCAGGGTCTTTCACCTTTTGTCAACTTTTTATAAAAACATTAAAAGTTAATACGAAAACTTTAAATGGCTGCTGAAAATTAGATAAACTTTGCACAGAAATGTATGAGCTTAAAAAGCACATTCTTCAAAGGCACTTCTAGAATGCAGGCTCCCCACTCCAGGAAAATTCTGGTTTGACAATCCGTCTCGCACAGCAACCAACCAACCATATCCAGTGCAATCATCCAGAGGGCAACCTGACAAATCTGTTGCTGCTTAACATTGTCTTTAAGTTAGTTTAAAATCTTATAGTGTGATCAGTTATCACTGGCATCTAAGCAGCTACGGCTTTGAAAATCACTACAAAACTGAAAGCCAGGAACTCACGGGAGACACTGACGGAGAGATAGTGCCTTGGCACATGCTAACAAGTTCGAAAGATCCAGGTAAAAGCAGAACTTAATGGTTAACAAGCACCTTCCACAAAGAAAACGCAATTAAGGTAGGATCATTCCAAAACCGGAAAACCACACCAAAACCTAACCTTTCTAATAATATAGTCGAAATGCAAGTTTTTCATTAAGAAAAAGTTATTATTTCCCAACGTTCCTTCACTCACCTCCGCATCTTCCCCAGGAAATGCAGAAAGAAAAGACACGAGAGGACACCGGATGACACCGAAGGACCC